CGTGTAAAATGGGGGAAATCAAAAGTTAGCAAATCCCCATGTCATGTTCATAAAACATTTAGTTTTAGGTCAAATAATTATTACACTGCTCTGAAACTCACTACACTAACTCCTAAGATGTTCCCTTACTATAATTAATTAAAAATATTGAACTCACAACACTGGTAATAACAAACTTAACCATTTCTCTTTCTATAAATAAATAGTGCTTGTGTTGGACGCCATTTTGAAATACAATGAAATTACCTTTTTGAAAGCTACAATAAATAAAGCTTCGCCAGTTTATAACCGATTAAACATGATGGTATCAGAATAATCACTTACATCTGATGTATAGGATGCTACACAGGTCACTGTAAAGATAAAGTGTCAGAGGAGAAATAAGCAAGCTTAGTTACATGAAATGTAATGAAAAATGTAAGATACAGGCTCTGTTTAATCGCCATGTAGGTTCTCTTTTATTGCACACTCAAGACAATATCAATAACAGCATCACGCTGTCCCAGGTGTGTCGTATGCATGTAAATAAAAGTTAACATTTTCAATATCAAATAAAGTGTCAGTAGTATCAAAACATATATATATATAATAACAATAGGTATGGCTCAGCACACACCTTAGTGCAAAGTGACGTGTCAGTATTAATAACAGTGGCATATATATATATAATCACAATAATACAAAATTAACTGTCCCAGGTGTAGGCAATTTGGGGTGAAGTGTCTTGCCCAGGGACACAACGACATGCTGACTGCAGTGGGGTTTGAACCTGTGCTCCCCTGATCCGAACACCAACGCACCAGATCACTGCACCACACGCCTCCCAACAAGTCATTGTACAGTTTATCAACGACGACAAGTATTTCTTTATTTTTTTATTGAAGGCCTGTTGGATTTATTCAGCTCGCTTAGCACTGCCAGAAGCAGTGGGCCTCGATTCCTGGGCCTTGTGTGAATGCAGCAGCCGTTCGTCGAACATCTCCTTGGCACGCAGGTCCTCATTCTCCTTGCTGACCATGGCACGGCGGTCCATCGCCATGATGGTGTCAAGGAAGCTGTCATCCCGTGCCCGCTTTCCTAAGGAGATAAGATAGGATCAAATAAATATCAAAGTGCCCTTATTTATTGTTTTGTGCTTAATGTATTTTTGTTTTATAGGGATTAGTGGACATCAGTTAGATGCGTAGCCTTCTTTCAAGGCCAGAGTAGTTACAGTGTAAGTGGATTGACATCTAACATAACATGGCTGAGTACAATTATAACAATCAATAAAAAAAAGGAAAAATAAATTGAATTTCAATTACATTTATGCTTAAATGTGCAAAATATTAGAACATCAGTCTTTGTGGCATGCAGGTAATCAACTGTTTAAGCTGTTACCATTAACATGTAGAATGAATGTTGCAAATGATGAAATTATAGCAACTACAATGTATTGTTAGAGGTAGCATTATGTCCAGCTAGCATGCTAATTGCTAACGTTATATTATCGTTTTATCCCGGAGGGGAAAACTAGTTTCCAATCCAGAGAGAAACACCTCGCCTGAAACACACGATTAGTGCCATGAGTTAGTGAAGCAATTACAGAACATTGCACACTTATTCACAAGTCAAAACGTGTTCATAGTTGTTAGCCAGCTTGGACCTATGTTAGCCAGTTCCAGCATGGCTAGCTCGATCTACTGAGCAAATAAAAGTACATCTGAGACCAGTATTGTGCAGATTAAAACAGTGCAGTGCATGTATTTTAGTTTACCTTCGTCCCGACATGACTTTGCCAGGTCTGCTAACTTTGCTGAACCACGGAAACTGCATTCAGTAGAAGCTTCTGAATGCGGCGCTTCGCGTCCTCCGAGTAAATCGCCAGAAGCGCCGACACATCCTCATCACTCCACCGCTCCGATGATTTATTTAGTGTTGCCATAATAACTGCTTTCACAAAAGTAATCCACTCGTTGGTGCGCTGTGCTGAGCTTAATGCGAGCAAATACAATGGCGGCCTTCAAAAAAGATTCTAGAGATTCACGGGGCGTTGTTTGCATTCCGCACAGCCAATCAGACGTATGAACTATTTTCTCCCACGACAGTCCCTGCTCTCTAGCAGGGACTGAAAAGCGGGTCAGATGAACTCATTTGAACTACTTTAGTTCCTGGGGCTTTTTGGTGTGAACGCAAATATATCGTAGTTCTGATGAACTATTGTGGGAAAAGTACTCCAAAGTACTCCGGTGTGAACGCGCCTCATGAAACACCCTTTAATTTACTGCAACGACATGTCGGGCATTGATCCGGACCAGTGACCTTGTATAAAGTTCACAACTGGACCTTTAATAAAAAAGTTTGAGTACCCCTGCTATACAGAGATGCTGTATGAGAAACCAATGTGAGTTTGGAAAATTGCACAGTATAAATCTATTTTAGTATACCTCAACAATAGAATTATGATCCGTAGAAATCAGTAGAAAAAGAAAATAAATCTATCACCCTACAGGGATGTCTGCATGTTGAGTGCTTAAGACAGAATATTCACTAAAGTATAGTTGTGGAATAAGTATTACAATATTTTATTTCAGATAACAACAGTATTGAAGTACAGTATTTAAGGTGAATGTGGTCTTCTGTATAATTTAAAGTCAAAGCACAGATGTATTCTCTATACTGCTATCCAAATGTTTTAGATGTTCAAAGTGAAACACACGTAAAGAACTTGATAAACTGTATAGGTATTTCATTTAAAACAGGAAAACTTTTTTTAACTAAGTAACTTACCATTATGCCGGTAACATATAGCTACTGTAAATAACACTTAGGCCTATACGTCATACATTAATGTAGTCAAAGAAGTACGATGTAAGTTGGCTGCCTGAATTAAAATATCAATTGTATTTGAATAAAAGTAACGCTCCATCACTGCTCAGTATTTCAGCCATCATATGCTCCTTAATATTTCTGAGAAAACAAAAGACATGACAATAGATTTACTGAGCCTCAGTTCACTTTATTTTGCCTTGTGCTGATTTTTTAATATAAGTTAATTAAGTTATCACAACACACAAGATTACAAACTAATCATCAACCAAGATTTAAAGATATCAAGCCATCAGAAGAGGATTATTTTCAACAGCATCTCTGCACCTTGTTGAACCCTATAAGAAAATAAAGTTAGATTTATTATAAAACACAGTAAGACAAATTAGTTTGGGAATTTGAAAAAAGTGGAAACTCACTTAGATCCTTCTCTTCTGCTTGTCGTGCAGACTGAGCTACAGCAGGTCGTTGCACAGCTGTTTCTCTGGATCTGCCTCAGCGGCCCTGTGATAGAGCATTGATATCTTTAAAGAAATATGTTATTCCTGCTTTGGCTGGAATTATGTTGCAAATCATTCTGTGACTTACTTGCTTTTTTTCTCCCTTTGGTTTAACAAGAAATCCACAAAGTTTTTCTGCAACTTTGAATCCATGATTTTGCTGAGCTCACTGGCGAGGGACGACTCAGCATACCTTCTGCTCACATGCGGATCATCTTTACTCAGACTTGGCAAATACACAAATCGAAAGTCACATGAGTAGAGCTTCAACTGATGATTTATTTCAAAAATTATTCAGTCTGCATGTTCATTATTTTGTGGATTAATTGTTAAGAAAAAAAAGGTGCCCTTTAAAAGTGACTTATCAGCTTGTCAAATCTTTGAACTGTTTTACCTGCATGAAAGGTGCTGAACAAATACACTAAAGATCTTTCAGCAAAAAAACAAATGTTTTTCCTTTTTAAAACAGTATAATCGTATACTTTGTGAAGACATAAATTAAGTAAACTGGACGAACCCCATCTCTTCGTGTTGAGTGTTTGCCTCTGCATGCAGCGCTCCGAGCAACCAGAGGACCAAAAGTTCAAACTTCATGATGACCTTAAAGCTAAAGGCAGAAAGGTTTTAATTTAATGAGAGCTGATCCATAATTATGTCATAGTACATTCGTCTAAAATGAGAGAAGAACAGTAAACATAAAATGTTCGAGACATAAAATCTATAGCTTAAATCAAGTGTGCGGACAACTAAATTAAATTCATTTTAAAATAAATGTCCTTACCTTTAAATATCTTTAAAGACAGGACATAAGTAATTCACATACCCTGGTGGGTTGCCTTTAAAAAATGAGCTTTTATACAGTTTTTGGATCATGTGTCATGAGGAAAAACATTTTAGTTCCAGTACATTAAAGCATTAATGAAACACACATACACAGGTGTCTACTGATAAGCAGCATTGTATTAAATGTGGGAGGGAGTGAAATGATAAACGCTCCTAAAGAGTTGGTGCTGAGTTATTAAGGATTATGGACCATTACACTAATGAACTTTAGCAGTTGTATGAACCACTAATGGTTTGTTGGTAAGATAAAGATGCCGACTCTGGGCCATAATGTGTGCATGTTTGACTTAGAAAGAGAATTTTCCGAGCAAAACCACTTTCCTCCAAAGAAGTTACACGGATCTCCGGTTACTTTTGTGTAATGCAACAGCTTATTATGAGCCATCTTTTCTTTAAACACAAATTCTTATTTAACTTACCAATAGAACATTTAAATAACTTATTACATAAAAACATAAAACACTTTTTTGTTGATGTATTCTGTGGTATTAAAGTAGAGTCATCAAATATTCAAGAGCATATTCATCTGAAGTAAAATAGTAACAAAAAAGACATCTAATGTGAAAAGAGTAAAAAAAAAACAAGTGGCTCAAAGAAATGACACTACAGACCTGTCCAAAATGTGTGGGATATTTCACAATAAAAAGTCAGGAATTGTCCCTGTCTTCGTCTATGTTTACAAATGGTACAATAAATATAAATGTATCTAACATTAGCGATATGATAATAAAAAGGGGTTGAGTTAATTTACTTATGGATGTATTAAAAATAACTTTAACGTTTAAGTTGTATATGTAACATGTACTGTATGTTTTGTGTCTCCTCCTGCTGGCTGGAGCTCTTCTCATCAAAACACAAGAAATGGCCAGCCACCACATTACGCATGCGCAGTGGTCGGCGCTGTAAAACAAGTCAAGGAGGGAACATGAAGGCTGCTGCAGGTTGACTTCAATAACTGTCGAGGTAAGCTCAAAACACAATAAATACGTGTTATTTAAAACACATATGTCCGGTTGTGAGTGTTGAATAGCGCGGTCGATTTACCCGCTTCGCTACGGACTCGCTTTTTGTTGGTTAAACTAGCCGGCTAACATTAGCTAGCTAGCTGTTATTGTTTTTCGTGCTTTCACGAGAACCAAAATGGAGGAGCAGGCTTCTGCCAGTGTCCTACACAGCCACTCCCGAGTCCTTGTGTGAAGCACTTGTTCTGAAACCCAAACGCAGCTTTAAATCCTCCTGGCGTGACTATTTTGTGTCTGAATAAGCGCATGTGTATTTGTACTGCAATGCTAACGTAAAATATTTTAGCAAAAGGATGCCAGGGATCAGGCACCGTCTTGATGCTTATTCTTTTCGGTTTGTTGAAGCATGACTTGCAAATTCATATAATGTACGCCCAGTTCAGCGCACACACTTAAACTGATATCAATGACACGACAACTGTCTTAAATATTCTTTGTTTTGTAGGACAGCAGATGCTAGCTTGTCATGGGAGGCAGCCGAGGTTGAAATGCACCGCCGAGGCGCTGCAGGATGAACAGTCGTTGTGTTCGCCATGACTCTGAGGTCCACTCTGTTTCCAAACACAGGATTCAAGCAGGACGCTGACACCATTGACTTTGACAAGGCGCATTTCGGGAACGCCACCGTGAGACCCGTGACCCTCAAAAGGGAGCCAGGCTGCGACTTTGTTATAAATGTTCAAAACGCACACGGGGGCGAGATCCCGAGCAGATCCCATGTATTAAACCAGAGTTACATGACAAGCAAAGTTTCCCTCGCGGCCACAGTTGCAGAAGTTGTTCAAGGAGACAATAAAACTGTGGGGGTTTTGTCCCCTGTCAGACAAATGGGGGGTGAGGGAACCCCAGTGAAAGGTAAACCCCTCTCTGGTGACGATATGGATAACCCTCAGATGGCTCTCAACAATAACCCTAAGGATGCAGGTGCGGATGACAGTGTGAAGGGGATGGTCCCTGGAGTCCTTGGCACTGCATCCATTGAACTCTCCGCTGAGGGCAAGTGGAGGAATATCAGGAAGACCCCTTCCAATCCCCACACACAGGCCAACTGCCTCCGGCAAATTCTCCTGCTCCAGCTGGACCTCATTGAACAACAGCAACAACAGCTGCAGTCCAAGGACAAGGAGATAGATGAGATAAAAGCAGAAAAGGATACGGTGAGTTTAAGCATTTTTTCACAGAAATGCAGGGGTGTCAAACTACATTTCATCGCGGGCCACATTAACATTATGGTTGCATTCAAAGGGCCGGTTGTAACTTTAAGACTATATAAAAATACATATATAAATATTTAATATATATAAAATAACGTATTATATTACATTATTGCCTCTGCATTGGATTATTTTCAGATAGGGTAATAACTTCATAATTAACTACGTCTTAAAGAAGTCTAGGGCAAATAATTGCAAGTCTTTTCAGTGAGAATGTCACAAAATGATTTAAAAAGAAAAGCCAAATTCTGGGAAAAAAAGGAAGTGACATTTAGAAAAAAAAGTAACATTTTGAAAAAAAGGCAAATTCTGAGAAAAAAGGCATATTTTGAAGAAAAAAAGGCAAATTCTGAGAAAAAAGTAAAATTTGAGATGCATTGTGGGACATTTGGTTTATGGGCAACGTGCTTCTGTAAATCGGCATGTAACCGTATAATAAACATATTATATTCTTTGCAAGCTCTTGTGGGGCCACAGAAAATGAAGTCACAGGCCGGATTTGGCCCCCGGGCCTTGAGTTTGACACCCCTGATTTAAAGTTTAAAATGTTGTGTCTTGTTCGTTTGCAGCTGCTTGCACGTATTGAGCGCATGGAGCGTCGCCTGCAGCTCACAAAGAAGGACCCGCCCAGAGATAAACGCCTTTTCCAGCCCCTGGAGCCATGGACCCCTGACAAAGAGGACGTGTGGGATCTGGAAGGAGAGGAGGGTCAACAGGGCAACTCAACCAATCAGCTCCCCTTTAGTCGGGGTGGCAAAGGTCAAAAAAGGTAAATAAATAGCATTAAGTAGAGATGGGACAGTTATGTCATTGATCACGATTAAAAACGTAATAGTTTGTGAGTAGTGACTTTATAACAGAAGAGTTATTTTTGAGAGATATCCTCACATGAGTGACTTGAAAAAGCTTTCTAAATTTGAAAAGTGAAAGAAATAGTACAGGAATGATCATGTAAGAAGAGGTTATATTTTTATGATTTATTTTTTGCAAGGATTTATGATTTCCTATTTTAAGATATTTCGATTTTTGGTTTGAACTAAATGGATTTTGACAAAAAAAGGTGTGTCCTACATGTGATGCAATAGAAATATTTATTGTGAAAATGTAAGGTAAAGGGATTTCAGTATGCTTGTATGCAATTAAAGTGTTGAGCATGTTTTGATGATTATCTGAATAATATCCCAATTTCTTCGTCCAGAATAATCATGACATATTGTCAGACATCACTGGGCTTTTTTGTGTGCGGTGTGATATTTCATAAAACCACAATAGATAAATGAATTAAGAAAAGGGGACATTAAAATCTACTGCAATCCATTCCATATTGTAATCTTAATTATTCTGATCAAACTTTGTGTGTGCAGAATTCTGAACAGGTAGTTGCAATGAATTACTTTTATTTCCTGTCACATTGCAGTAACTCTGTTTTTTTTATTTGCCTACACAGGAAGTCTTGCTTTGGAGATGTAAAAGGGCAGAAATCCCGGGGCAAAAGCGCCAAACTCAGCCCCCACAAGTCTGATATTCAGCCCGGCTCTCCCAATCAGAGAGAGCTGCGCAGCAAGGAAACCCCAGAGAAGACCTTTCCAATGAGGTCAGGGTCAGAAAGGGACCCCATGCTCCCGTGCAAAGAGGAGCCCGGGCTGAGTTGTGAGATCGACGACTTGCCCTTCATGTCTACTACTGAGATGTACCTCTGTTGCTGGAACCAACCTCCTCTCTCGCCTCTACGTGAGACTTCCCCTAAAAAGGAAGAAGAGGTGGCCAGTGAGTGGACTCCTCATGTAGTACATGATATGCTGATTGTTTGTAAGCGTAACCTATATCTCATCTTTTGATCCATCAGCTCCAAAATAAATAAAAATGAGCTATGTCTGGCTAACTTCCTATCCCTCCGTCTTTCTACCTTCTAGTTCCATCTTGGAGGGAAAATCCAATAGAGCCGTTGGAAGATGATCCCTCCTTTATCCCTCCTGAGGTGAGACACATTTGTAGTAATTCCTACTTTTAGAGTTTGAAAAGTTGCTCCCATTAAATCTAAATGCAATAAACTCATGTATTACTTTGTCTTCCTATCCAGCCGATGGACGACAGTGTGTTCTTGAAACGCCACGCAAAGCTGGAGTTGGATGAGAAGCGGAGGAAAAGGTACCAAACACTTAAGTTATTCGAATCTGGGTCTGGTTAATTGACATGATAAATTACACATGAAAGGAAGTTGCTTGGGTTCTTAACATAAACAAAGTAAGATACAATAAAATATAACGGCAAGCATTGTAAAAATGAAGACAATTAAATGTGGAGTAGGAGAAAATTACAATTAGATTACTGATTTGTCATTTATTTGTCTGAAAAACAATATATGGGATTATACAGATTACATAAAATAATAATGTTGGTAGGCAATATTTGTTTAAGATTAACACTATTTATTATTTTGTTAAGGATCCCTTATTTTGGTATTAAATTGTTGTGAAGAACATATATATACTAACAGGGACATTATGTTATTACAGTATGTTAATTGGATGAAAAAAGTATATTGTTAATAACAAATGTTATATGAAACAAACACATATTTTAAAGGTGGGAAAAGAATCCCCAATGCTTTAAATTGTCTGTAACAAAAGACTTAATTATATTATATTAATTAAATATGTTTTTATCAAAAGGATGCAAGATGTCTAACTTATTCTTTACTCTTCCTGTGTGTTTTCAGGTGGGACATCCAGCGAATCAGAGAGCAGCGTGTGTTTCAGCGTCTGCAGCAGCGCATGAACAGGAAGAAAGTCGTCGCTGAGACGGAGCCAGAGCTCTCCTCCTTCTACCCCGAAACTGAAGATGGTACATCTATTGACTTACTGCAATTCAATTTAGCAACATTAATGACATTTCTATGAATGGATTCAAGAGATTTTAACTTGATTGTTTTATTTTTTTGCCAGTTGAAACCATAGTGATCACTCCCTTCTTGCCTGTGGTTGCATTCGGCCGTCCGTTACCCAAACTCTCACAACAGTAAGTGCTGTTTTTTTATTTTGTTTCATAACATTTAAAGGTGGGGTAGGTAAGTTTGAGAAACCGGCTCGAGATACACTTTTTGTTATATTCCATGGAATGCTCTTAACATCCCGATAGCAATGAATATCTTAAGTGCTTTGACAAAAAATCCATTAAAAAATGTCATCTGTGGAAGCCGTAGTACTGTAAAAAGCACAACCAATCCGGCCCGGCTAAAATAACTGGATGGCATACCTGCCTGTCAGCCTTCCATCTGTGCACAAACTTATCTCGTGCCCTCATTGGTCATGTGTGTGTTGGAGGAGGGGCTCTGTCAGGAAGTAGCAGATTTTTTCCGGTTGTGTATTTTCAAATTCTAGCGATCTCGAGCTGGTTTCTCCAAAATTACCTACCCCACCTTTAAGCAGTACAAGAAAGACACATGGCACAGACCCACATTTTATTATGTTTTACTGTCTGATCAGATCATACTGAAGTCATCTAATTACTTCAGTGAATCTGCACTGCAGGAAGTTTTAAAGTATGTTTTCAAAAGTGAATCTGTATAGGAATAATGAAGGAGGGGGGTGGCAGTGGGTGAAAGCAGTTGAGATATTTGGTTAAAGCTTCAATGTAAGATCTGAGCAAATAAGTTATATTGAACAGCTGTTAAAGTAACCAAAGAGACCATTTACATTCTGCCTGTTATACCTCAGGAACATTTGATCGTATTAATGCTGAAATGCTTTATTCCTAAAAATATCTAAATCTGTATAATAAAATAATGATTTTTCCTCCAGGAACTTCGAGCTGCCTTGGCTGGATGATCGAAGCCGATGTCGCATCGAGGTGCCCAAAAAACACACTCCTCACCGGACCTGTCGGAAGTGAAACCCTGTTGTTTGTGTGTTAATAGCGGAGAGATGCCGCTCCATGCCCAGATTAGAAAATGCTATATTTGTCTTGCCTGGAGGGGGGATAAGAAAAGTCACCAGTCGCTGTGTATCACCGCTGTTGCTTTCAGTCTGAAGTCTCAAAATGTCACCACCGATCAGCTGATCTCCTGCAGAAAACTATGCGAGGACCGTAAATTGCTGCGTCACTGGGTGTCCTTGATATTAATCATTTACACTTCTGAAAGGGAGATACACCCTGATGCCACAAGATAACAGTCCCTGTGTTAGCAGCAGTTAAAGATCCAAGTTTGCATTCTTAAAAAGAAATGGAGGAACAGTTATGTGCATGTTCTGTCACATTTATCAAACACATTTTGTAGCAGCTGGGCCATCCAAACTTGAGTAAAAGTGGAGTATATGTCACTTTTTATGCAATCAGCTAACTGGATTAAATGGACTCTAATCTTGGGTGTGTTCATGTGGGGTAAACAAAAAACACTTGTTGCCATTTTGACAAAAGTAGAGCTTGTGCTGTACGCCATTCGCTCCAGCTTTTTGTCCTGGGTACACTCATTCCAAGCTTAAGTGGAAAACAAGTCAAAATCTGACTGTATCGTGCTGTGTATTGCCTATATCGTTATTCGCACACAACTTAAAATAAGATTTCATCAATGTTTAGTGTGATATCAGAAGATATGAGCAACACTCGGCATGGATTCACATAAAAAAAAAATAGCAGTGCCAATTCAACATGAGAAAAATATCAACAAAAAGCAACTAACTGATTGTTCTGTGTTCCTGGTTTGCTTTTTGAAAACAACGGCACGGTTAATTCCAGGGGTGGTGAACTAACGTGAAACCCACAGTTCTGTTCCCTGTACTAACATTTGTTTTTTTTATGTGAGTTGCATGGACCCTATTTAGCTGTTTTAATAAAACATGGTAGCATGGCTTCACCCCTCGAACGGAGAACAGTCTCTGCTCATCGGGCTACAAAATGTTGTTCTTGAAAGCATGACTTACGGCTGCTCTGTTCAGTGAGAGTCTCATCGTCAGTCTGATGACTGATCTTTCGTGTTTACAATCTTAACAATACGCTTACATCCAGTTAATACTAGGCAAGTTGTGTGTATGCACTTGGTCTCTTGAAGCAGTAGTCTGACATTTAAGGGAATCATTTTAGACAATAACTAAGCTTACTAGCTGTAGTAATAGCGATGTTCGATAGTATGCTCTAAAACATGCCGCCCTTTCTGAGGTAATCTCAGCTCCAATCGCAGTGTGTGATTTCTGCCCTGGCTGCGTTAGCTAAACCTCTCTCTACATATGATGCAATGGCTTTCTGCAGCTTCAATCTGTATGTGTAGGCCGATTTTTGCTAATACAATGTTGATTTTTTTATTTTTCTGTACATAGCTTCCAGAAACAAATGTACATAAAACATGGCTGTTATTTTTTTATTATTTAATGTTGGACGTGTTGAGTACATTCAATATTGTTCTATGATTGTATGTTGACAAATTGACAGTTTTGAAAGTTAAATTCTTTTGGAATAAAATTAACATGTCTACTTTATTTGAATTTTCGTTGTGTACATTTTTTAATTATTTTTTATAACATTTGCCCATATTTATTTTTGATATAAAAAAAACCATTTAATAAAGATCCTTTTAATTGTAGTTATTCAATAACTGACGCAGATATGTAATAAGCATTTTACACATGGAAAAACATTTGTTTTACAAATATGTGATGGAAAAACACTGGGTACTACACTTCCCATAATGCAACTCAAAGGTGTTACTCCCCAACTGGTAGCACATACTATTTTAAAATATATCAGAATTGTCCATTCTTTTTTATCTAGCAACCGAAATGTACATTGCTTTATTAAACTTTTATGATCCTTTTTATACTATTTTTATTTTACTAGTACCTTTTTTTGGTGGAGCACTTTGGAATATACATTAAAAGGTGCTTTACAAAGGCCATGCCGAGATGACCCTGATGACATCACTATCATTGGGTTTATTATTCTTTCTAACTCGCTGGACTGGTACTTTCCATGATAAATAATCTGTGCTTTATGTATAACATTTCTTCAAATCAGCCAGTTGGTTTAATCTGGAAAAAAATGTTTATTGAATAAAGAAAAGCAAAACCAGGACACTTTCTCAAAAATGAAAAATGCTGACTCTTTAAAACTTTTGGTGAAGATCCAGCTGTTCTCAAGAAAATCACTGAGTCATGGTTACCTGGCAGTTAACAGGAGTCAGCTGACACCTTTCTTTCCTTTATCTTTATATATTTGTTTAAAACAAACTGCCCGTTAATACGTTTAGACAGAAAAGACACTTTTTGTACACCATCTTCAACTGGATCCCGACGACAACAAACAAAAGAATGTCTAAAGTCATTAAAAGCTGACACCGGGGCTAAAACTGTATTTTATATGAGATTGATCAAAAGAAAGCCAAACCAGCCTGATGTACAAAAAGTGTTGACATATAAAACATCCGCTTCTGTCCTTTTTACCGACTTTCATTTGGGTCATTTTAAACATTTTAGTGTTAATTTAAATTGCGAAAACATCATGCCTAGAGGAGTTAGTATTTACACAGACAGCAAAATAATCTTTCACTTTTAGAGAACTTGTGTCATTTGGCAATCAAAATGAGACCAGGCCTATCACTAAATACTTAGTGATAATGACACTAAGTATTTCTTTTTTTGATAAAATACATAAAAACACACATAAAATGAAAACACCTCAGAACAGAAGCCACACACCTTATATAACACAGCTGAAATAGCTCTGTTTGCCAGTTATACCTTCAAAAAGAATCTAAACACAGAGATTCGAGTATGTTTGTATCTGTATTAACAACTCCGCCACAGTTTCACTGCGTGCTCAATCTCTCCGGAGGTTATTCAGCCGCTCCTCCAGGTCGGCGTCTGCGTCTGCGAGGGCGGCCTGAGGCTCGACCTTCTTTCCTCCGGCCACCGACAAGCTTCCTCCGGTGCTCGGAAGATCTGAAATAAACACAAAGGGGATCTAATAAGACCATACGATGCAAATGTAGAATTGAAATAATTGTGCTCAAAGTGTTGCGTTTTCTTACTTGACAGTTCATCTGACACATTCAGACCCAGCTCGTCCAGCACCTGGGACACGATGGCGTCACTGTACACAATAACAAATGTATTAAAGTAAATGCAAAACATATATTGGGTTACTATTATCCAAATATGGAGGCTGAATAAAGAAGTCATTAAGTGCGAGTTTGAGGTAAACAGGCATTCTACTTGAATTGTTGTGATTAACTGATTTTAATTCACTTATTTCTTCTTTTTGGGGAGACTACTGTTGAAAAAAATCAGCTGAAAAGATTAAACTCAAGAAAAATAAAGATAATTTGAGTTAAAACTTTTATTTTATTTGAATAAAGTTGTACTTTCTATCATTCCTTTGGTAAGAACTTGTTTGTAATAATTGATAGCACTACTTCTAGTGAAATGTGCATATTTGCTATTACCATTCAGAACACAAATGTGGAAAGAAAGTCCCTCACCTCTCGTCTTCATCATCCTCATCCCCCATGGCATCATCGATAGCGTCATTCATCATCTCCTCCTTCATGTCCATGATCTCACTCTGTTTTTCAAACTCCATCATGATCTTCTGGATCTGGGGCAGTTTCAGCTGTGAAAGTGGAATACATAGGAGATGGTCAACATCAGTTTGTTATTGTTTATTTCTATTGAAAGATTGAAGTGTGTTTGAGGGGCGGACCTGTCTGTTCATGGTGGCCATGGCTTTGGTGACGCCTTTCATAGCCTGCGCCATGCTGTTGTTGGATTTGAGCGTCTGTATCTTCAGACTGACGGCCTGAATGTTGGCTTTCATCATGATGAACTTCTTGACGTAGCGCCGTGTGCGGACTAAATCCTTAGCCATGATCTTGACGGCGTCCTGCAAAGATTAAAATAACACTCATCACTGGGGCTGTACTGCATGTCATTTTTTATCTTTTAAAACTAACAGAGGTTTTCTAATGCAGCTTTGTATATCTGTCATCAAAGTTTCTGTCTTCATCTATTCTCATCATCCTGAAGAAAATCCCTGGTTTGACAAAGTGCTTGATATTCTGTCTTTATTTGATTAAATTAACTTTCTTTAATAAATAGCAATCATTGGTAAGTGCCTCCCAAGCAGGAAAGAAACCCTGTTTTTTACTTTTTACTTTTAGAATTTGTATTTGGAATACACATTATAAAGGTGCTTTACAAATAAAATGTTTTTAAAAAGGCCATGCCGAGATGACCCTGAGGACATCACTGACTCACCACCTCATCACTAGGTTTATTATTCTTTCTAACTCACTGGACTGGTACTTTCCATGATAAATAACCTGAGCTTTATGTATAACATTTCTTCAAATCAGCCAGTTGGTTTAATCTGGAATAACATTACATTACATTACATCACATTGCATTTAGCTTTAGAATTGAAGCTACAAACACAGTTAGGATCACAGGGTACTTTTTTCTTTTCTCACCATTTGTCCCTGTTTGGCCATTTTCTTAATGTCAGCGATGATCTTCTTCTCCTGCTGCTCCAGTTTCTGTCGCTCTCGGTCCAGTTCTCTCATGGCTCTGTTGAGCGCCCTCTGATTCTGCCTCAGCATCTCCTCCGGGGTTTTCCTCTTTCCAAACAGGAAGTCCATCTGTTTGAAAATACCAAAGGCAGAAGGTCGAAACAGTCAAGCTCAGTATATAATGTTAAACAACTAAATTCAAGACATTAATGACACCAGTGCTGACATGATTAGAAAATTAATCAATTAGTAAATAGTCAGAAAATGTTGCTCCTGTGACAATCTTTTCTCTTGCTTTTCTTTATTATAAAAAAAGTTGTCAAAACAAGGTTTGTGTGTGTAAAATGTACACAGTCAAACTGGTCCAACTATTGTTTTGTTGTTTGACTAAAGTAAACATTTCTAAAGCAGGATTTTTTTTAAGTATTTATTTTACAAATGTTCAGTCTTTCTTACTGTAGATGATCTGAATAATTGTTTCACCACTGCTGACAGATTAGAGAGGTCAAATCTAGTAAAACCAAATCATTCAACAAATTCCAAATTCCATAAAAATATATTTGTTTCTGTTTGACTGGTGTTTACCTTCTGTGCTATGCTTCATCCAACCATACTTTTTAACACACATTAAATCAGTCAGTTTTAAAACTGTTTCAGCTATGTCAGTCTTCATATAAAGTCAATGGTCCACCCGGTGACCTGTTGTTTCCTGGAAAACATTACTCAGCAGTTAGTAATGTGACTAGAGGCCCGAGGTTTCCGAAGCCGTGTATTCGATTCCAAAACTGCCTCAACATCTTACACAAACGGTTAGCCCTACAACTAAATACCAAACACAGCGTTACAAAATCCAGACCCGGTATAATGTTAGTCTCACCGTTTCGTCTAAAGCCGGTTATCCGGAAGGTTAAACGGTGTTTAAGGCGTTTTCTCCGACTTCAACTCGCCACAATTTTGAACGATTATTTGTTTTCTTTCCTTCACTTCCGTGTTACGATAGTTTCCGGGAAGTGACGTGATGACGCACCTAGAGACTTTAAAAACAGACGTCGGTTTCTTTGCCGGTAGGTGTCAAGGTCACGCGTCAGAGAGGGAAAACAACATTTCAAAATAAAATCCTTCGTCTTTTTAATTTGGGATTGGGATGTTTTTATTGACCTTTATGTATTTTTTACGGTTGCTGTTGAATGCTTTCTGTGTTTGTTAAATATTGAAAACAAAAGCCTACTGGTAGTGGTAGTACTCAGATCCTAAAAAATAAAGAAAAATCTAAAAAACGTACAACTGTGCTTTATTTTATTTGTATTTGCACCAGTACACTGGTAAATACTCTGGACAGATATTATGTTCAGCCTGGCATCATAACATTAATTATTTGAAATCACAAAAACAGTTTGTACCTGATGTGTTCTGTTGCTAGTGTAGTAAAGATCTATTTAATAACATGTTTCCCACACAAATGGCAAACGTTTGTGGTGAGGCTTTTATTTTCTAGGTGAAATCGCTTGACATCCGGTCCTAATGTTGTTCGCACATGTGCGAATTTCATGTTAAGGACACACAAACATCCTCTCCTGAGGAAGACAGTGGGTATTGATGCTTGGTCAAAGGAAATATTTGATAATAGTTAAGGAGTTAACCTGCCGACACAACTTGTATAGATTATTGGACGTTTCGCCTGGCCAGCTTCCCTTCCTAGTGCATCTGGACATTATTACAACTATTTCAATATGTGGGTAAATAGCATTGCACATCAGCAGAGATTGCTACTGATTTGGGCCAGAAGATTATACAAACCGGAATCAATCTCAAGAGTGGACTCTTATCATGTCTCAGCCTCTGTGCTGTGCTCAGAGGACAGCAGCAGCAAACCTGTGCTGAAGAGACGACGCAGAGTTTCAATAAACTCCTCCGGGGCCCAACACCAACCTGGGGAATCTGATGGATGGCACACACAGGAGAGGTCAGTTCATATTGAATGCTATTTTATTTATCTATTATAATTGTGACTATACAAAAAAACACCGATATCTCTGAAATAATAATAATAATACAATAATTAAATCAAACATAAATACGTGTAATTATAAATGGGTCAAGTCCCATTAATAAATAGTTTTTTTTATTCAAACTGGACGTTTATAATTATTAGACTACTTTCATTTATTTCAGGGACATTTTATTTGAGTAATTCCACATTTATTAAGTTAACAACACAAATAATGGAAATAAAAATCTTGGAAATAAATTTGATGAGAGTCCCCTGTAATAAAAAAAAAGTGGAATTTTGACCTGTAATGAAAGAAATGGAAACATTTGGAAAAATGCCCGTTACAAAATAAATGTGTGTATTTTTTTTGTTTTGTTTAATAAATTATATTGGTTAGTTCTCAAGAAATTAAAGATATAATTTGAATGTTTTGTTGTACTTATCTATAGTGAGTGTATTACCTACAGTACATGGCAGTTGGCACGCCCCCAGTTTGGAGAAACACACAGTAGTAGTAGTATCTGACACAGGAGCTAAGCAGTGTACTGCTGTGGGTAGGGGAAACAGTTTAATTTTGCAGTCAGACAGCCTTTACCTATGGGAAGCTGGATCCATTGTCTATGCTCTCTTAAGAATTTTTGCAAAAATAGCAATTTTGACTCTCAGAATACAGGAGTTGCTGCTGGCTGAAATAAGTTTTGCTGCTGCCTCAGTCCATAGCAGTTCATTGCTCTGCTTCCATATGGTTACTCCCGTCTACTTATCCAAATTGTCACTTTGGATGAGTACCTCAAAAAACCCTACTTAAAACAATGTAAACCATCCCTTTCAGTAAGGTGGTGTTGCAGTTTTGAAATTACAAGTTTTCTAAGATCTTTTTATTTTACAGAACTGTGATAAAGGAGCCGAATCAGAGGTGCTGGGTTGACAGCAGAATGTCATCGGAACTCAGGAGACTGAGTATGGAGGATTTCCCTGAGGAGAAAAAAGAGAGGCTAGATGGAGAGAAAAGGGAGAAGGAGAGGATGGTGGGAGAGAAGGAGAGGTTTGGGGGAGAGAGGAAGGAGAGGTTTGGGGGAGAGAGGAAGGAGAGGTTTGGGGGAGAGAGGAAGGAGAGGTTTGGGGGAGAGGGGAAGGAGAGGTTTGGGGGAGAGAGGAAGGAGAGGTTTGGGGGAGAGGGGAAGGAGAGGTTTGGGGGAGAGAGGAAGGAGAGGTTTGGGGGAGAGAGGAAGGAGAGGTTTGGGGGAGAAAAGAAGGAGTGGCCGGTTAGAGAGAGGATTATGTCAACAATGGACTCCAAAGCAGAGAAATATGAGGTTGTTTTTGGCATCGCTCCCTGTGTCCTGGCTCTCACTCAGGGTAGAAGGAAGCCCCGTAAACTGTTTGTAAAAGATGGCGATGCCTCTAACAGGGCGTCTGTGTTAAATGTGTGTGAGGTGGCTCAGCGGCGAGGAGTACAAATCCAGCGGGTCAGTAAGAACGATCTGGACAAGATGTCTTCTGGGCGAGTGCATCAGGGAGTGTGTCTGCAGGCAAGTCCTCTGGGCTATCTCACTGAAGACAGAGACTCTAAACCCAACGCGGGGGACACTCCTCTCTGGCTCGTTCTGGAGAAAATTCAGGACCCCATGAATCTCGGCGCCATACTGCGTTCGGCGTATTTTCTCGGCGTGGACAGAGTTGTCAGCAGCCTTCATGATAGCTGCCCCTTGTCTCCAGTGGTCAGCAAGGCCAGCTCAGGCGCCATGGAGGTGATTGGGGTGTACGGATACGAAAACCTCGAGGACATGCTGAAGATGAAGATGGTGCAGGGCTGGCAGGTGGTGGGCACGGTGGGAGCTGAAGCCGAGGAGTCCCAGGTTCCTATCACCCTGTGTTCAGACTTTAAAGTGACCAAACCCACGGTGTTGTTGATGGGGGGTGAGGGGGAGGGACTGTCCAAGCAGCTGCTCTCTCTGTGCCAAACACATCTAACCATCCCCGCCGGCAGAGAGCTGTTCCCGGGGATCGAATCCCTCAACGTCTCTGTAGCTTCAGGCATTCTGCTCTACTCTCTGCTGTCCTCCAGATGAACAACACCTTCCATATCTGTCTGTACTCTATGCAAGATGCAAGGGAACTGAGAATGTTATGGAGGACAGAATGATATGTCGATGTATTTGAAATTGAACACATCACGGCAATCTTCAGAAATGGCTTTAAAGGATAAGGATGATCTTCTATAATGTTGGTTCTGTCAACACATTCCAACAGTGAATGTATATACAAGTACTGTGGGAGTATCTGGTTCTTATGTGCCATAGAGCTCCATTGTTGTCCAAAAACTATTAAAAAAATATCAATGAGGCACACTGTTGTACTGGGTGACATGTTTTTGCAGTATGAACACACACTGTAGTTTGTTTTGACTCAATCCCACAAACACCGTCCTGCTGTCACACAAACTCAAATACTCCGCAGCAGAATGTAGTTCCCAGTAAATGAAACATTTCCTCTTGTTTCAGTAAAAACTGTAAAAACTGCAGTGACCAGCTGTTTCAGGAAATAACAGACCCTTTTTTTAAATATGAAATCATATTTGTGATATTTCTTTAAAGACTACTGCAGGTTATGGAAGTGTGAGACTAAACTTTGCTTTTCAAAGCAAGAAAAATATATATCTGGAACGATGTCATTTCTCTGACACTGTACTGCATGCTTTTTATATGCTGTACGTAAAACAATAAGGAGGTCTAAATAGATTAAATGTTATTTTTTAATAAAATATGACTTGATCTTATCAACTTGTTAGGGTTTGTGTTTGTTGTTGAGCTGTTTGAATCTTCTCCACACACACTATGCATTTGCACTGCCAGGGCTGTATCTCACAAACATATCCATGTGTGCATGATAACATTTTAAAAAGAAAATTAGCAGATACACACAACTGCTTTTGTATCAACTTAATTATATATTTACATCAAATATTGAAAATGACATGACATTTTTATTTAGAAAAAACAAATAACCTGTAATAAAAGTAACATCAAATACAATAAAAATAAAGTGAATGCATCTTTATATTTTCAGGAAAAAATATTTTACATCTTTGTTAATAAATACTATACAAATGTAATAAGGGCGTAGGAAAAATCAACCAAACACACTTAAGTCAGATTCGTATGCATTTTTAAACAAATAAGGAGTAAAAGTATCAGACATTAAAAGGTGTGGAAGCAGTGGATATACAGCATTATTGCACCTCCTTGACTAATGTGTGTATATATATATATATATATATATATATATATATATATATTATTACATTACATGTTACTTGTTAGATGCTTTTATCCAAAGCGACTTACATACTTAATACTGTCTGTGGACAATCCCCACAGGAGCAATTTGGGGTGAAGTGTCTTGCCCAGGGACTCAACGACATGCTGACTGCAGTGAGACTCAAACTTGTTATCCCATGATTCGAAGTCCAGCACACGCCACTGAGCCACAGCCTCCCATATATTTATGTGTCTTTTTAAGTTTTGCGTCATTTATTTGTTCATGTAATAGTCTAATTATTTTTGTTGGCAAATCATTCAAAGTATTTATTTATGCAATATTGAATAAAACTGCTTTTCATAATAAAACAAAAATAAAATATACCTTACACTCTCCACATGGCGGCAGTATACATCAACAGAGCTCCCAACGAGCCCAGTTTGAGGACTGGGGAAGAAGAGTGGCGCACACAATGCACTGCACGGCTGACAAGGGTTGTGTCTGATTTTCACGATTAATTTCCAATTCCGTAGAAACTTGTGAAGGGGGTGCAGCGGAGCCGATCGCTTTCTCTCCGTATGTATTTGGATTTAGTAAGAATAAGAAATCTTTGAGCGGAATCGTTGGCAAATGGTCCAACTAATCCACAAACATTGGATTACACCACAGTGAAGGCTGCATGAAGGAGCTGCCCAGCCCAACGGGGGCTTGGCCGACACCCTCGTTTATGGAAATCGACACCGAGGCTTTAATATTTGGGCCTTGATTTTTTCCGTTTATGGTGAAGCTGGAACGACAGACGGGTTGGGTGTTAAGAATCATTTTTCATGGACGATTGGTTGCAAAACAACCCCGTCCTGCTTCCTTTAACAAATATTGCTTGTGGCTAACAGCTGGATCAGCTAACACTAGCGAGCCCGAATGCTAACGTTACGTCTTTCTTTTGATGTGAATTCAACCATTACTATCGGCCATCAACACATTTCGGCAGTGGACATATTTGTTCTCCTTTTTGCAGATTACAGGTTAGCTTTTCAGTAAACTGTCCGGCTTGTCAGTCTTTTCCAGACACGTTTTAAGAATATAGTTGTATTCTTAGGTCACTGGCTAAATATATTGTAATGTATTGCCGTGTAAATGCTACCAAAATGCTAATTAGCTGGAGTCAACACTGACCTGACGTTAGCCCGCATTACTTTAACTCAAACAGCATTTTACTCCTTTTTATATTTGGAGTAAATTGCAGGCGCTGTCAACAATAACATTTTACATTTAACATTAATACGAAATAATGTCACGGCCACTGGTGTGTTAATGTCGGATATCTGGGTTATTGGCCTTGCTAACGCTAACTAACTAGCTATCGTTTTGCTAACAGGCAAATAAAATTGTCAGCAGAAAAAAAAAGAAATCCTACACGCAAGAGTTGCATGAGCAATAACAAGGTTTAAGTGATTTCCATTTCGAAATTTATCTAGAGACGATTTGGCCTGCTTTGTCCGCAGCACAAGTAACGTTGGTCTTTTTTTGTTTACATGCGTATAACTTAATGTCGGTTGGATTTCTTGCTAGCTAGCTAATGTTAGCCATCTAAACAGCAATGTCCTGACATTTAAGTGTCTGTCGTGGATAGTTTTAAATACCCATGTGGGGCTAAGTTTGCGTTCAGATTCATTGAAATGACACTCAAATTTCGCCGGAAGAAAGGCACTGATGCCGATAGACAGTTGTCAAAGGACGGTAAATAATAGCCACTGGTTCCATTAACGCCATTTTAACAGGGGCTCCCTGCGAGGGCCTGTCTGTGTGGTGGTGTTTTATTAGCGGTTCGGTGCCTTAGACCGGACCGGGACTTGATTAAAGTGCCTCTTGGTTTCTCACTGGAGTTACAAAAGGAGGTTTGCAACATGGAGGGCCCGAGCCGAAGCACTGGATTTAGGCAGAGCCGACGGTCCCGTTCACAGCGCGACAGGGAGCGGCGGAGGAGGAGAGTGAACCTGGCCGAGGAGCGGGCCACATCCCTGTCCTCGGGCTCCGACCGGGAGGCTTGTGGGACGAACACTGTTCTGGGTCCCGGCGGGAGAGAATGCCGACCTGGTTTTGGGAGACACAGGCCTCCACGCCGGAGGAAGAGAGAGTCGGTGTCCTGCGAGGAAGACATCATTGATGGCTTCGCTATCGCGAGCTTTGTCAGCTTGGAGGCACTGGAGGTAAATATATTTCACTGCTGTCATTCACCAAACAACATCAACACATTGATTTAATACTCTTTAATGAGTTGTGGCAGTTGACACTATCATGTCCTTAATTAAATAATACATTGGCTTGTAAGATTGACTGTTTATCTATTTGTCTATTGTGTTGTTGTTATGGTTCTGGCACCAATTAAACAATAACATAATGTAAACTTCCAGTTCTAAATATTCAGATGCACTATTCAGATGTTCAGATAAACAAACACTACCTAAACAAAGCATAAAAACAACACAACTTTATAGATGTGATGCATACAAAAAAACACACCCAAACACACCACCAGTCTGACATTATTACATTCTACTTACTAGGTTATGCTGTATTTCTTTCCAATGCTGTTAACTTAATGGAATGAAGTTCCAGACTACCGGCCATATTTTAGGACTATTCTCAATGCCTCCCTATCAATTAAGCCCTTAGTAATACACATTTTGAGAATAGTACTTTTTTGCTATTTCAGAATCCGAATACCTTTATTCGTTAGACAGACCGTTTTATGAGTGTTCCAGACAATTTAGCATAGCGGTGGTTTCTTGCACGGATTGACTACTTTAATTTAATGTCCTTTTAATCCCCTCCATCACGTCAAACCATGCCTTCTTCCCTCCAGCTAAAGGTGTGAAAAGGCTTCAGATATGAACTCCTCAACTCTTTGACACTATTCATTTGCCTCGAAAAAGCAATCCACTCAGGCAGGCCAACCCCAAACCCCAAGGCATCCCTCTGATGGGTCTGGAGAGGCCTCAATTATTCATGTCCTAATTCACTGAGGTGTTGAAGAGCTGACAAATAGCTATTCAGACTAAGAACGAACAACACTAAACCACAAGAAATATTTGAACTGAGGTCTGGAGTTTTACGTGGGGTCTTAACTTAGTTTTAGTATAGATTTCTATGCACATTTTTTAAATACACAGAGTATGTTTTTCAGTGTGTTCTTGTTTTTCTAAAGGGGATATTGGTTAAAAACACACCACAATAAAAGGCATTAAAGTTGTTTTTTAAGTGTCTTTGGTAACATTCTATAGAGCAACAGTTTTTTTGATAGGTGGGTAAAGCTACTTCATAATTTGTTACCTCCAACTCTGATAAAAAGAATATCCTTCTCCAAGTAAGACATTTAGGAGGATGAAGATATAAGGACTGACTAGTTGAGTAAGAATGAGTGGGCCTTTGCTTTAAAGTAGGTGTGCTCGGGAATGCTTTTCATTCCTCACTTTCTTAGGTCCGATGTCAATCAATCATGTGGATCCTAAAATCAGCATTGTACCACCATGCATTTATCTAATGCATGCATGGGGGACAATCACACTCTTATAAAGAGAAAATAATCTCTCATATTAGTCATTCCGCCTTAAGTGGGTCTGATGGTCTATTCGACCTCTGTTTCAAGACAGGAAACCAAATTATTTTACTATAGGTTATGTTGCAAAACCTCCCTCTCATTACACACACAGACAGTTCCACTTTTCTCTTGGCTAACTTGAATGTACAGTGACTGCCCACATTGATGGTTGGTTACGATCTGAAACTGCTAATAGAAAAAAATACACTTACCAGCAGAAAAAAATACAGTGCAATAGAAATACACATTACGCGTGGAATGTGGCAATTTCCTTCTCCGAATGTCGAACTTCCTGTCTGATCTTATTAACGGCAGTAACTGCCCCAACTTATTCTATAGAAGATAATTCATAAAAAAACACAGTTCCACCGATTTGTCAGACAAGCTGAGGTGACCTTCATGTGAACTTTGAAGGATTATGCCAAAAAGAGTATATTCTAAGCTTACATCGTCTAAATGCATCTAATAACCAACTGGATTTAAAACTCTACAGAGTAGTTTTGATACTCAGCATTAACAGTTCCTTGTGATTTTTATTTATTTTCTCTATCTGGATTCAAGCCCCCTATACATTTCCTCTATTACAAACAATCCATAGTTTGAATAAACATTTTGAAATCTTTATAGATAAGTTACTGGTTTCAAACATGTTGACGATGTGACTCTTTAATGCCTAGGTTATGACCTCATCACAGAGGATTGAAAAATATATATTTCAAGGGTTTTACCAGAAACAGTGAACACATTTACATTGTTTCTGTAACAGAAATGCTCCTTCCTGCTCGCTTATATATCATCTCACAACTCCTCAGGTTTATCCAACGATCAGTATAATAAGTGACCGGAAAGACGGAAACCCCTATACACTGCAATGTACTCCTATCAAACTGGTTTGTTTGTGTTTTTGTAAGGCTCTACGTTTTTTTTGTTTTAAATGAGGTGTAAACAAATATTAGAATATTTGTTTAGCATTAAAGCACAAGGCGATTTAAAAAAGGTTTTAAAAGGGGCATAGAATATATTTAATATACTACTACTAATAACACAAGGGATTAAGTACACATTACAATTGCAATAAAAATGGAAAACAAAGAAGTAGGTTACACATTTGAAATAAATTGTTTTTCAAAGCAATAAAAGCAAAAGCCGTAACATAACAAATGAAAAATTAATAATGCATCTAATTAATTGCAAAATCCACATAAAATAGTAATGTTTGTAGCTGTGATTTAAATGAGTTTACCAGACCTTTACAACAAGTTAAATGCAACCACAAAAACAGTCTAAAAAATATAATTGAGTCTACACACAATCTAAGTCACATGCAGGCTGCATTACATCACTCTGGTGTTACTATTGTTGCCTTCACTCAGTTAGAAACAAGGTGTATCAGGACATTAATCAGCATTTAGCCAGCCAATGGCCTTTGCCCTCAGGCTTATAGATTCATGATTATTGCTAAACATGTATTGTAAACACTGATTTCTCTTTCCACCTTATCAGATGGACTGCTCTCTGAAGCCCAGTCAGCGCACTGATATTCCATGCAGGAGGAACAAGGGGAAGAGGGGGCCCGAGGAGAACGGTGGAGGGTCGGAGCCGGAGGAGGGGGCCCCGCACAGCTACTCCAGCAGCTACTGGAACAAGAGTAAAAATAAGAGGAGAAAGATCGAGGTAACGGATGATTACTCTGAGCTTTAATGTTTTGGTCGACTCGGATCCACCATCATCTTTTCATGTTAGATGTTAAGCTAATTCTTTTTTGTAAATTCAAACAGAACAAAGACATCATGAACAGTAAAGAAAATAATTCAACTAATAAAACAACAGGACGAAAAGAAAATAATAAAAATAAATGCAGGGTAAGCTTTGGCATTACCCATCATATTGCTGTCACTCACATACCAACGTAACAATATAATTCATGTCAAAGGAATACTTAACCCCCAAAATGATTTGTTTAATTTGTATATAAATTATTCACTCCATCTTACCGTTAATTCGTGGATAAGGTTTTTTGTTCTGGCAGCAGAAGACTAACGGAGAAACACTCAATTGAAGTAAACAGTGGCTGCATTTACCTAAATAAATCTAAATAAAAACATTTGTTATTGAAATCAAGTGCAGAATAATGCACCCCCAGTTATCCAGTCTTTTGCTCATGACATGCTAAAAGAATGCATTTTACACTTTAGACAACATGCGTACTTTGTGTGTTTTTTAACCTTTTGTAAACAAAGAAGTCATGCAAGAAAAACTCAAAACATTTTCTTAACCAATATCAGTAACACCAGTTAAGTAATTGGTTATACATTAGACAGTTTTGTCAGTGAAGTATTCCTTTAAGTGTTATAATAACTTGTTTATCAAAATGATAGTAACAACGGCAAGTATTACTGAACCTATAGCTGCTATTCTCATATTCAAAAGTAATGACATAAATCATTTGTTTTTTTGCAAATGTTTAAAATGTTTTGTTGTGCTGCTGACCTGTATTTATTCTACCATTGAAAACAAGGCAGTACAACTGGTTCACATCACCCATCATTTGTTATTTATTTCAGTGTTATTTCTTACAAGCAGGAGAGAGTCTTATTGAAGACTTAATTTAGTTTTCTAAATATACATTTCCAGTAAGCATTATTCAAAACGTTTATATTAAATATTGTACATCTTGTTTTTATAGGGACACCCTTTGGAGACCGGCTACATTGTAAGTTAACTTTCTATAATTCTTGTGACATTTCTTTTTGCAAACTGCCTTAAGTATTCTAATGGATTAAATCGAATGTTTCTGTCTTGTTTCAGTGTGACACTGAGAGTGATACGGGAGATAAGGTGTGTACTGCTTGTTTTATTTGGGTAACGAAAGTGTGTACAGTTTACACTCATTGTTGCCATTACTTAAAAAACATCAGACAATATATTTGAATGACAAAACATTTCCCTGGGTTGGGACTAACATGAAATCTTTGTTTCTTTCCCCAATCAAGGCCTCCGAAAACGACATGGACCCAGTCTTCACAGTCAGTACGAGGAAAGGTACGAGAAATTCACGTGGTTGAAACTGTCAACTAATGTTAGTCAATGAGTGTCTTCAAAATTATTAAAGTAGCTGGTGTTGTTTTCATTATTGTATAATTATCTAAAACAATATATGAAATGACCTTTGACAACACCAATGTTACCATTTACACCCAATATTTTATTATAAAAGAAGATATTCTTCCATGACGCTCAATATCTGTAGAGCGCCCATTTTATTTTTACGGTTGAACAAATGTTTGGTCCGCTTATTCCAAAATATTTCCGTTGATTTATTTTTTGGGTTTATTTCAAACGAGCTCTGACCTTCCTTGGGACTTGGGTTTAGTCCCTTTTTTTTTCTTTGTTTGAAAATGTATTAAGAGCTAAAATGTGAACCTTTGAAGACTTCTTAAGCACTTCTTCTAATTGTGGGTTTGTGTTCCCTCTCTGTATAATTAGCATTTCTCACCCTTTGTTGTGTCACTCTATGCTTTAGCATACAGGAAAGGCAAAATGCTGACTGATGTTCTCTTTTCAGTTGTGGAGCCTGCCCCCTCAAACATGGCCACATCCATGGGCAAAATCTGCCCGCCCCTCCCGGCCCGTATTGGTGGCATCTCACGGTTGATGGTGACCCCGAGAGTATCTGGCCTAGAGCGAAGTCAGGAGAAAAACCTGGAGCAACACTTCCTAGAGCCTGCTTCTTCTACCTCTTCTGCCCTCTTCTCTCGTCTGCCTTCCCCCATCACAGCCCCCGGCACGGCCCCCCGCTCCAGCCCGTTCAACGGAAACGGCAGCCGGCACAACGGCAGCCCGCCCCTCTCCAAACCCAAACCCTTCCTCACTTTGCCTGGACGGTCTCACTCCATATACAGGTATGTGAATTGTGAAAAGGTATCATGAAAGTGCTTTTAATTTGACTCTTCAAACCTCTTTTTTTAATGCCTGTTGGGGTATTTCTTTAATTTGTGATATTTGTGCTTTCTTTCTTCTCAGGGGCAACGGCACAGTCAAACCTCCCTCATCTGCATCTGTTGCGTCTTCCTCATCCTCCATGCGCCCTCCGACTCCCTCCACCAGTGTGTCGCTGCCCTACATCAGGGGCTCAGGACCCCCAGGGCCCATCAGACCCCCATCCCGAGCCGGCTCTGGGGCCTTGTTCACATCTTCACCTGGTCTTCCTCCCCCTCCACCTCTGCTACAAGGTTCTGGCCACTCAACAGTAGCAGGTACAGCCAAAATGAATGCTTATTTTTACTGCTTTCACAGTCCGTTGCAGTTTTTCATGGGAACTGAATGACTAATATGTGACTAAAAGAAACCAAACCCTGACTTCCTCTGGTGGTTGTCTGGGGGGTTGAGGAAGTTGCATATTGATGAACTGAGATCTGATCATGTCAGAACTTGCATTTTGTACTGTATCTGGTTACTGAATAGGAAGCTGCTTTGAAATTCCAAAATATGGTATTGTTGTTTTGTTAAATTTGCAACAAAGCATGCAAAATAATGTAATAACATTGGCATTTCTTCTCTATTTTTAAAACTCTTTTAATCTGGGTTTTCAGAGTGAAACAAACAGTTGAACAAGTCAAACAAGTATTTCAAGTATAGGTATTAGGAAGACAAAAATAACCCAGAATTAATACAAATCAATGTTTTACTTGGAATTGACTAAATATATAATTTATTGCAAGGCCAGTTTTTAATATAGAAAGCTGTAAAGTAAAATAAAATAAAAACACATGGAAAAATGGAGTAGAGTAAGTTCTACAAGTTTAGTATTATTCAGATACCTGCTAGAAAGGTTATGAAGATATATGCTTATACTAAAATTTAAAAGCCAATTTATGGTGTTTTGATGCCAAGTGATCACATTATATATTTTCTTTACTTCTGTTTACTCCCAATGTAGACCAAGAATTACTTCGTCAAAACCTAAACTCCCACTTCTTGAATTCACAAGAGCGCGAGGGGAGACGCAGTGTCCCGGGGGCTGAAAACGACGGAGCAGCTGCTGGCCGCTCCACTCCTGGTGGTCCGTCGGCATCCAACTCCGGCCCAGGTTCATCAGGCCGGTCGTCGGCGAACCAGACGAGCATCCCGCCTCTGGCCTTCCAGTTCCATCAGCACAACCACCAGCACCAACACACGCACACGCACCAACACTTCACACCCTTCCTGCACCCCACAGCCACCGCGCCGCCTCTGGTGAGATGCTCTCTGTTGTTGCTTCGTACTTGAAATTCCTGCGTGGCTGGAATGTGGACCGTGTTGAGTTTTTACGAGTTGTTTTTAACCCACGCACTGCCTTTTGTCTTTCAGTTCGATAAGTTTGCAGGCAAAATGGACGGGCTGTATCGACACCCCGTGAGTACTTTGTCGAATCTTACCAATGTTGGTGATAAATGACAGATTAGTGTTGAAAATCATAGAACAATGAGGCTTAAACATTTGAAGAACAATTTAAACATTTAAAGTGTACAAATGTACTGATTTCATTAATGTGTTCAATCATCACTAAACTATGTGTGTCTGTGTCATGGCAGTTCTTCCCACAATACCCACCGCCCTCAGTGCCCAGTATCCAGCCTGTGATTCCTCCCACTGGGCCGTTCAGCTCTCTGCAAGGAGCATTTCAGCCAAAGGTATATACAAACTCTCTCTGCATCTTTGCATCACTTATTCCTGGGCAGCAACTAGATGTCAGGGGAAACAATGTAATTATTGTTTTAACATTGACCATAGTGAGCATTCTGAACAGAAAACTCCAGAAAAATGATTGGTCCTCTAACAGCAGGGGTGCCACAAGGCTCCAAATTGGGTACCCAATCGGGTTTAAAAAATAAGGGCTTTGGCCTAAACTAATAAAGCCTCTTTTATCCCTACTTTACGTTTTGTGGTAGCCTCTTATATGTTCTCTTTGTCACTCCAATAAGATCTTTATGAGTTAAAAGCCAATACTTTAACAATACACCTGTTCAACAAGCATACACATGTGGAAAATCCATATTCCAATTCACTGTGTTATGTTTTACACAAGCACAACCTGCCATCTCGACATATTACGAATGGTTAAAAACGAGCTAAAACAAGCTGTCTGTTCAGCTTAGTTTACGGCAAATCTTTAAATGTTGCACATTCTTGTAAATCGTTCGGCTGGCTGAAACCTAGCAGCCCCTCCTCCCTGTACCAGCGGTACCTGCAGGCAGTGATTCATATCCGCAGAGGGAGGAGAAATGACTGATGCTGACTCATGTCTTTGTTCATAATTCGTATTTTCTTTGACATCTTTCCATTAAAGGTAGGGTAGGTAAGTTTGAGAAACCGGCTCGAAACCGCTAGAATTTGAAAATACACAACCGGAGAAAATCTGCCACTTCCTTATAGAGCCCCTCCTCCAACACACACGAACGCGCACATGACCAATGAGGGCACGAGATAAGTCTGTGCACAGATGGAAGGCTGACAGGCAGGTAGGCCATCCAGTTATTTTAGCCGGCCTGGCTAAAATGATTGGTCGTGCTTTTTACAGTACTACGGCTTCCACAGATGATATTTTTTAATGGATTTTTTGTCAAAGCACTGAAGATATTCATTGCTATCGGGATGTTAAGAGCATTCCATGGAATATAACAAAAAGTGTATCTCGAGCCGGTTTCTCAAACTTACCTACCCTACCTTTAATATATTGTGTTGAAATAATTAATTTCCTACTGTAAACATTACTTTTGCTGCTATAGAAACATGTAGTATTGTTTGTTTAACTTCTAATCTTATTCTAATTTGAAGGGGCCCTTTTTCTATACTTTTTGCGGTTTTCCCTTTCCTGTAGTGTGTTATATAGATTTGTATGCATGTAAATGGTCTGCAAAGGCTAAAATGACAAACCAGAGGGAGTTTATTTCCTAAACACTACCTTTTACTACGCTTTTTGAACATTAAAGCATGGAAACTTGTCACAGCAGTGGTACAAAAATATAAACCTGAAAATGAGCACAATAAGGTCCCTATAAATATTTGTATAGAGAAATGATTTGCTTGGAACCGATAAGAGTATCGATAAAGAACAAAACCTAAGAGGACCATCAATAAATCCTAACGCTATTCATCCTTTGACTCTACCCTGGTAATCTCATATTATTACTTACCTCAAAAAGCTGATTCCTGATTATGTGATGTTCTAGTCTGCTCTTGGCCCTTCAAGCTTCAGTTAAAGTATAAAAGAAAATTGACACGGATAAAGAAAACATAAATGGTAGACGTAGGTCAGGGCTCATGTGTTGTGCTATGTTTTTGACAGCCTCTTGTTCCTCAGGGAGCGGGTCCAGATCTATCTGCACGACTCGGAGTTGTGCCTCACCACCTGCAGCCCAAAGACCCCAGGGTAAGGCCAACATGCTTGCTGTGAACCTGAAGTTTGCATCATCACTCTGGAGTTGCTTCCTTTTGTTTTCAAAGGACTGTATAGATCAAATGTTAGGCTCAGATATGCTGCAACACAGGCTTAGTCAGAGCAGTGCAAATTACTCCTGATAAAGAGTGAGTAAATGTGCATTAAAAGTGGTTTCACACTTCTGTTTTCTTGTAGCCAACTGATCCATTTGGGACACCGTTGAAAATGAGTAATAATGTAAGCAAAAACTGATGTTTCTTTAATCCCATGGCTCTTAAAACCTTCAGCCTGTTTTACTTTCTCACTGCTTCACGCACTCCTTGCCCTAATCTCACTTGTAACACTGACTGCTGCTGGTCTGTTCTGTGCCCTCACACACCTAGTTAGATGTTTCAGACGCCAGACATTACCCTATGAATAATGTATGTGATGGCTCTTTCCCCTGTGATCATTTGTTTCTTGCTTTTGCATTTTTCACTCACTTTTTTGTAATATTCCCAAATGTATACCAATCCCTAGAGGGTAACTTTATCTCCAGCTGGAAAACACCAACCTTTTGTAGCGGACAGATGAGATATCTGAACAACAGGAAGACCATCTCACTCTGTGCTTTTAAAGATGTACATGTGTGGAATAAAACGGTAAACCCCTGTTATTTGCATCTTTTTGCTGTGCAGAAACCAGGAAAGTGGTGTGCTATGCATGTATATGTGGCCTGGATGATTCTAAGCCATCAGAAAAAAGTGAAGGTATGTGTTTCTTATTGAAATCCTGTGTTGTAATTTCCCAGATTGTTAATCCTATTCAATTCAGTCCCAGTGATATTCACTCAGTAGACAGGATAATATCAAGTGAGTCCTTTTTATATGCCTGGTTAACCATTCCTTTCATGTCTTTCAGCTGATGCACGTTGATCCTCACAAGTTGGACTTCCGTAGTGACCTGCTGACCCGTCTTCCTGGAGCTGGGGGAATGGGCTCACTGGGGCCGATGGGAGGAGCCATGCCTCCCACTCATGATCTGACCAGATCTCCCAGTCTGTTCTCAGCAGCAGGTGCATGTCTAAACATTTCTGTTTCATAAGGACAGCTGACAGAATGAGAATGTATTTTTGATCTGAAACTTTTAGTTGAGTTCTGTGCTGTGATTTTATTTTCCTTGGTGATGTTTTTTGGTATTTCCCTTCTGCACTAGAGATGCAGTGTTTGCAGTTTTTCCCTGCAGATGCCGATGTATTCAAAGTCTGACCTCCTGATCACAAATTGTCTTTCTAGAACTACAATTAACAGCATACACAAACATTGGCTTTAATGAAAAAGTCAAGTGTGTCCATTAAGTATGAGAATGATATGTAAACAGTAATAACGCATAGGAATATTCAGAATAAATATTATTCTGTACTGTGTCTGAGGCTAATTTTAGAGAGTCTACTCTCTATAATAGGTATTCTATTTATTGTCTGTCTAAAACTATATATTTATTCATCTATTTTTATACAAAACTAATAATAAACACACCTTCAGATTCTTTTAAATAGATACGGTTTCATTATTAACCTTACTTCTGTGGCATCCTCCTGCCTGGCCCACACCTACTGACAAAGGAGAGAGATGGACACAAATTTGTTGAACCACAATATTATTTATTTCTCACTTATTTCTTGATGGTCTGAATAATTCCTAAATGTTTCGCCATCAAAGTTTTAGAAATATAATTCTAAAATTGTCTGAAAAGTCCTTTAATCCAGCAGGAAAGCTGCCAAGTTGCAACACTGTTTGTTCGGTCTGTGCAACTGTGTGTGCGACGTAAAATCAATTTTGAATCTGCACATATGATTTTGCCTAATTTCTTAAAAACCTCATTTGCTTTTTGATTCGTCGTGTCCTCACATTCCAGAGGTTTGACTGCTCCGCTATGCTGGGTCACAGCATGAAGTGTGCAGTAGCTCTGTTAACTTGATTTAATGTGTGGTGACGTTTCATTTGTTTTACTAATACTTCTCTCCCCCAGGGGCAGTCAATCCGTCCTCCTCTCCCTTCATCTCTCCATCAACGCCCCACTCCTCTTTCCTCCCGCCAACTGCACACTTAGGTAAGAGCTGCTTCCAAAGACACCTCTGTAGTCCACTCTACAACAAATTACATGTCTGTTACTAAAATTCACAACTCCAGATTTTTACTTTGACTTTAACCTCTCGTAAATGAACAGATATCCAGTCTCCATACCGACTGTTGCTTTCGTAGAAACGTTTGTATCAACGCTTTTTTGCTGACATGTATTTGCGTTTTTGTTTAGATCCGTATGGCCGATCCCCACCCTTCACCCCACTTGGGGCCCTTGGTTCTAGTGCCTTCGGAGGACTTGGCAGTCCAACACTGGGTCAGTTTTACAGTTTCTCTGCTCTTGAAACACACAAATCAAGGGATAGGTTCAGATTTATTTCCAGACTGTCTGATAGTGCTTTACCAAAATGTTTGAAGCTTGAAATCTTCAATCAAAACGTTGAAATTCTGAAATCAACATTGGAATACTGTGCAGCTTCTTGCATGTCATTCATCCTGTTTTATGCAGGCATTTTTGCAGTGGCAGATACAAAAATAGGCTTCATAAATCATAGTTTTTTCCTATTTCAAGAGTTAGGTCACATTCACACCTAATAGTCAGTTTTCAGGTGCGCACCAGACGACAGTTTGTTACATTGTTACATTTTTCAGAAGGTTCGGTTTGCGTTCACACGGGCAAAACTCAAACGGACTATAAACTTTAAACACAAGTCATGTGCACGGAAATTCTGTTCAACCATTGGTCAGACATTAAGGGGGTAAAAACGCAAATCCCGACAATTTCTACCGGAGCCTCCGCCATGGAGCATCGGCACTTTCGGTAGGTTATTTTCATGCTGCTGTTAATCTGGAGATCAACAGACTCTAGCGGCCCGCGCATGTGATTATATAATCAGACAACGTCCGTTAAAAATCTTTAGCGAAAAGGGTCTTTCGCTAAAGATTTTGAAGACATCCGCGTTCTTGTGACGCGTAAATACTACACTTGGCTATGTTTTGGTGCGGACTGCGTTCACACCAGCGATGAACCGCTCCAGAGTTCACTAGCAAGCGCTCCGAGACCGCCTCTTTTAGGCGGACCAGAGTCCTGTTGTTTAGTTCACTTCAGAGGTCTTGGACTGCGTTCACACCAACCCAAACGAACCGCACCAAGCGGCTAAACGCACCGGGGTTCGATTCAACCGGACTATACAAGGCTGGTGTGAATGCGCCCTAAGATTACAGTGGTGGTTGTATAGGATGTTTTTTTTTTTTTCGACTTGTGTGTGATACAAACGTTTCTAATAACACCAAAGCAACGTCGTGTCCAAAAGGATAAATAAAGACACTTCCACATTTTACAACATGTGCTTATCCAAAGAATATATTTGTATTCAATCTATATTTGTGGTAATTTGGCCTGTAGTAAAAAACATGTCAATGTTTATATGATTTTACTAGGGACATTTAACATTACAGTCGAACAGAATCACATTACAGACGGGATGGAGAGGAGGAACTATTATTTCAACCAATAAATCAACATAGGTGTGGCATCATGAGTATTGTTTTAAAACAGACTTGGAAAATCCTAACCTACCCCTAAATACAGCCGCAACACAACAGCTCTGTCTGTAGGGTAGATGCTTTAAGGTACAGTATATAAATACCACTTTAGGTCCTATGATTTTCACTTGTCACTAATATGTAGATTCATTCATCCGTCTGAGTAAATACTTTTTTTAAAACACACACGTTTGCACATTTACTGTTATTGGAGAAGCTCTCTGTTTGTTGAATAATGAAGATGAGCTTGTTGAAGCGGGTCGAGTCGCACCTTAGCTGGAGGACTTCACCTGTTACACTTTTACACCATGACTAGCTTTTTTTATGCACATAAGCTTTAGTTTACTAGTTTCCCTGTATGATAGTTAACTAACTTATTTGTTTACGTTTTGCAGTGGCCTCCATAAAGGATTCTACAAAAATTGGCAATCTTTGTTGTAGAATTCCTTCAATTAAAATATCATTTTGGAAATAAAGATCATATATCAATATGGTTATGGTTAACATATTAGGAAAATGTTTTGGAGAAAGGGAAAATTGCTGAAACATCAACAATAAAATCATTTATTAAGTAAGAAAAACATTATCAAGCATGTATTTCAAATGCAACCAAACGGTTTCTTTTTAAATGTATACAAGCAAACCCACGGTTGGTAAAAAAATAGAAAATATTTAAAAACTTTTGCTGGCTTCATTGTTGCATATTTTCCTTGGAAAATGTCTCTTAAATGCACTGGCTAAAAATGTTCTTAAAATTGACATACAAGCAGCTCGTCCTATTATATGAAGTATAAATGTACTTCTGGATATCAGGAGTTAATCAAATAAGAATTAACATACTGTACATCGTATTTATTTATTTCAATTTTTTGGCAGTTCAATTTACACATTTGTGCCACACTAGGGTTTTACGTCGTGCTACGGCCACAAACACAACATGCATGTAGATGTGAACGTTTTACATTATGAGTGAAGAAGATGGAAAGCTTGCAATTTGAAATTGGCTGAAAGCTTTTTTTACTTCCGACTCCATTATTAATCGCAGACTGAAATAAATTCCAATCAATCAACACATTTTTTTTTTTTTTTTTAACTTGAAAGGACAGAGCCTGTTGTAAGCATCCACATTTCATTTCCAGAAGTTTGCAATTGCAGTCTGTAAATATTTTAATTTGAAAGATTGATCGTAGAAAATGGTGTACGTTGCTTCTATGCTGTTTTTATTTGCCTAACGGGTTTAACTGGTCCGCTGCAGGATCTGTGTTTGGCCCTAAAGATTCACCAGCTAACGTGGTCGGAGGTTTGCCCCCCCCCAACCATCACGACCCATGGAACCGTCTGCACGGGGGCCCGTCTGGGTTCGCCCCCGGCCCCAGCTGGGCTAAAGGGCCGGACAAGCGGGACGAGAGGGATCGAGCGAAGGACGTGGAGAGGAGAGACAGCCCTCACATCAAGGACGAAAAGGACAGGTATGTCATGCAGCAGATTTCAATACTGGCTTTAAATATAATTATTTTGACATGTGGTGGGATGAGTTGGCATTAAGAATCAACATTACCTCATGCATTACCTCCCAGTGAGATAGGGACCCATCAGACAGTTTTGGAGTTGTTTCTAATTTTGCCTTATTGCAAAAGATGATGGGATTTTTTTTTATAAATGTAGCATTAGAGAGAGTAATAAAGAAAGAGAACATTTCTATATATAAACTTTTTTTTTTACATATTAAGAAGTTTAGGTTTAAACATGTTTAAGAATGAATCAAAACTCAAAATTCACAATATTTTGACCATATATATTTCTTGTTTTGAGACATTATTCTTGAAAAGCAACATTTTAATAAATATCCCACATTTTTATAATTGATTCTTATGCCTGGTCCTTATGCTCTTCGATACAAAATAGAATCAACAAATCACAATCTAAGAAATATTCTCTCTGGTTCAATTGTTTACATAATCATAGCTGCCAGTTAATTCTGCACAGTAAATCCATAATTTATGTTCTGAAATTGCATTTATAATTACCGTTCAGTTTACTAGTAAAAAATGTATTTTTGAATAGAAGGCTTGGTATGAATGATAGATGCACATTTTGCCCATTATGTTTTGCAGAGACAATATGCTGTATGGCCGACAACCTGTGAGAATGTCTCCAGTTGGCCCTCCCTCGAAGCCCCGCAGTAGCACCCCAGTCTCCCATATAAACGGCCACAGCAGCACCCTGGGGGGCAGCACGGGGCCCATCGAGGACCTGACCCGCAGCTTAAGCAGAGACAGAGACCGCGAGCGAGACAGAGAGGGGGACAAGAGGCCGCAGCCCACAGTGTCTTCACGGGGCCCTCCTTCATCTTTAGTAGCAGACAGGGACAGACCACGCTCTTCCTCATCTTCTGTGCTCACCACTCCCCCGCCCTCCAACCGCTCAGCCCAATCTCCTCTGGACATTTACCCCCGCCCAATGGCCCCGACAGGACACGGCCTCCACAACGACCCCTCACACTCCCAAAGAGACGGTAACCTCCCTTCTTCCTCCGCAGCTTCGGCCTCTGTCACTTCTTTGTCTCAGGCCAAGAAGTCTGACCGGACCACGACCCCCGTGTCTAAACCTCCGCTGCTCCTCCCGCCTGTTAAAGTCAAAGAGGAGCGGAAAGAGGAGCCGGAGCATATCCCCATCACGCTGCCTCCCCCAGCACCCAACAACAGCTTCGAACGCCCCAACAGCCATCCACACCACCACCGCTCCGGTACCCCTTCCTCTTCCTCTATGTCACTGACTCCCACTCCCGGTGTTCCTCTCATGTCACACGCTCATGCTCAAAACGCTGCTGCTGCTGCTGCACACCACCACCACCAACAACAACAACAACACCAACAACAACAACAACAACAACAACACCAACAACACCAACAACAACAACAACAACAACACCAACAACACCAACAACACCAACAACACCAACAACAACAACAACAACAACACCAACAACAACAACAACAGCACCAGCACCACCTCTCCCTGCTGGACCGCTCCAGGGCCATCGAGGCGTACCTGGGCAGCACAGGGGCTGCAGGTTTGGTTATGGGTCCAGGAGGAGAGCGTTTCCACCACGGCCCTGCACAAGGGCCACAGGGGCCCCACAGTTTCACCTGGGATCCCTGGAGGGAGCTGGCTGCTCAGCAGCAGCATCAGCAACGCAGGGAGGCCATGGCACTCCGAGCAGATCCTCACCTCGCCCTGCGAAACGATCCACACCTGGCCCGGCTGCTCCAGCATCAGCGCCTTATGGAAGCCGCTGCAGCCAACTCTCAGCACCCTCAGACGTCTACCTCTTCCGCCCCCAACTCGGCTGTCCGCCAGGAGTTCGGCCTCATGGCGCATCACTTTGAGCGCCCTCATCACCTCGGACACCCGGGAGGAGGGCTGATCGAGGAGGACCAGCGCACCCAGATCCTGAGGGAAGACTTTGAGAGGGCCCGCTACTTTGGTATGCACCCGCATATGCCCCCTGGCGCTCACCTCTCAGGCCCCTCACACGCTGTCGCCGCTGCTCACCTGGAGCAGCTCCACTCCGGCCTTCTCTCCCACTCGCTCCCCCACGGAGCCTCTCACGCTTCCCAGCACCACGCCGGCCTCTTCGCCCGTCTTGGCCAGCTGAACCAGCACCACGTGCCCAACGGCATCCTGACAAAGACCCCTGCGGGCTTGGTGGGAGCTCTGGCGGTGGGGGCGCCGCCTCCGCTTATTCCGTCCATGACCAGCCGCTCGTCCACGCCTCCCCGGAGACTCGGGCCGGGGGAGCTGGCTCTGTACAGCATCCACAAAGACGGAGAGTCCAGATAGTACAGGGACAACACTGGAGGAGATTAAGGGAAATGTCAGGATCACTGTGCTGCTCTCTACCTGCCCCCTTTACCTCTTGCAGACTACTAACCCTCGCTGTTACACAACCAAACCAGCTCCAGTCTGCCCAAAAAAGGGTAACCACGCGTGCTTTTCATTATGATAATATGTCTCCTTGCTTCCCTCACGGGTTGTAGCTCCTCTCAGCTTGTATCTGAGAGAAAGAGATAGTGAGGAGCCAAAGCTTCCAAATGAGAAACCTCGTCAGTTACTGGAGGTGTGGGATTTATTAAAATACAGGATAGGATACACCTGTGTTTCCTTGCATCCAGAAGCCTCCTAGCTTCTCGTCTCTTCGAGGTGCATTTAAAGGATTGAAAGATCTTCCATGATGGCGGGGGGGGGCTGACAGTTTCCAGGTCACGGGAGGATAGAGGAGGCGAGGAAGCATATGTTAGCGTAATGAAAAGCAACCCCGTGGCTGGCTGGAGGTGATGAAAAGGAGGGAAATGCAAGGCTTTTAAGACTTTTTTGGAAATATGCGCAATGGTTCTATCAGTGCAATTCAAAGGTACATGGTTTCTGTGCATCCTTGGTGTATTTTTATTTTATACTGCCTGTTGGTTATTACAGTACTCAATTTAATAAGCTGTAGGAAGAGGAAGACAACAGCTTTTTCTTTCATTTGTCAGGTGATCCATGCTGTTTCAGCAAGCCTTTTTCCGGGTTGGATTGGAAATGACTTCCAGAGGGATGCACACTGTGAAAACATGCAAAGGTTCATCCTCAGCTTCTCATGGGATAATATTATTATTATTATTATTATTATAAAGCCTTCCTCTTCATAATTCAACCCTGGTTATGTATTGTAGATGATGGGGAAACCCTGGCAAAGGGGTCCTTTCTGTACTGATGAGACCATTTTCAATGAAGATTGGTATAAATCGCACCTCCTGCTTTACCCAAAAATCTAACCTCTCAGCTTCAATGATGAGATTCAACCTATTTTTGGCTTTTTTTGTTTTGTTATCAAAGGTTGAATGGTGAAATGACCTGTGCTACACTGTGTGAGTGAACACAGCGTTTTAGAGCTTCCTGTAACTGTTTCCCACTCTCCTCTTGACTATATGAGCAGGACCAGAATATAGTAGTCTAGAGAAATTGCCTTTGTAATTATTATTATTAACATTAATTATCTTCTATAATAATAAATATATTCACTGTTATGTTATTTGTCTTTGTTTCGGGTATCAACCAGTACTCTCTCCCCCCAGGTAGTTTCAAATCATGCAGAAGACAAAAAGGCTTGCGTCACAGAAAACTTAAACGCTTGTGAACATTAAGCCGTCTCCATTCGCAACCTCTGGCCTCTTCAAGGATCTCATCGACGACTTTAATACACTGAGAGGGAGGTTTGCCTGTGTGTTATATCCATTTTGGGACTATGGGAGCCTTGTACAGTGAACTGTCGAGTTGTTTCACCAATAAAAATAAGTTATATACATGGATAAGTGGGACATCTGCTGAAGAACTGAAAAAAAATATAAGGACTTGTGTCAAACGACAACTAGACAGTGGGTACCCTGAGAGGGAAAAGACTGGGTCGATTATTTTAATATGACCATTTTATACCTTTCAAACCCCTCCCCTAGAGACCACAAAGATTAATTATTAAATGAATTGTTGTTTACTCTGTTGTGTGGGTCTTTTCTTCAGTTTGTTCATGCCTGATTTACCTGGTGAGTGTTTTTCTTAAAATAAGAACAGTGACAATACCCTGATGTATAGATATAGTCTCAGAGAAGAACTCAACAATCTACACATTTACATTTCAGTACTGAAGTTGTCTTTCAATTTAAGACATTTGCAATATGTCATGTCAATTGTTTAAAACTTTTAATATCTCGACTGAAGTATATTTTCTTATATAATCTAACAAAAAGGAGATTCTGAAGCACCATTCACTAGTAATCCTGCATTTTAAGGGAATAAGCAGGAAATGACTCGCCTATATACTACTTTTTGGTGGAATGCAACTACACTGTAAGTATTAATTTCTGCTCGACTACATTATGAGAGCTTTAGTTACCTAACAAATTCATATTTTTGCATTTAAAACCTATGAAGTGTTTATAAAATGTTTTGATATCAATTAAGCTCCCCTATAGTTTAAACATAACAAATTATATATTAAATATCAGGGAATAAAATTAATTTGAGACTATTTTGGAAAACCATTTAATGTTTCCAGCTTCACATTCGTGATATGCTGCTTTTCCTTTTATATTATAATAAAGGTAGCCTAATGTATTATTAATATGTTTGAGGTTTGGAATGTTGGTTGGAGAAACCAAACGTTTTTAAGGGGACACTTTAGGAACTGGGTAATTTAAGACACAATTTCCTAATTATTATCAGCCTATTTTTAAGAACCCCAACAATCCATTAATGGAGAAAAATATTTCAACAGGTTAATCCAAAATGAATAATAGATAAAATAATAAATAATTGTATAAAGACGTTAAAAGTTATAAATGACCTATGCTACGAAATACTGCTTTTAAAGTATGAGTAATAATAATCTAACATAACAGTCACAGGGGAAATGTGTATGGTTATTTTTTCATCCATTATACTTTAAAATGTTTTTCATTTTTCAAAAAGAAAAATATTTTATTCAAGAATACTTTCTCCAACACTGCTAGTTGATTCATTCTCTTTTGATCACGCAAGGATCAAACTGCAAAAACCTTTGTTATATCTAAATATAATATCCGAATGGGACGTATTATAATTGTTTTACTGTGAATCAACACCGTCATGATTATATAATGTAAACGCCTTTTTAAACATAAAGGTAAGCAGTTGGAAAACCCGATTATTTACAATAATCCATCAAGCTTGCTTCTGAAAACGAGTTTTTATCAGAAATTTCAAGTGGCGCGCTTAACAACATCTCGCGAGATTTCCCTATGTTCTGTACTTTGTCAGCAGCAGCGTTCTTCCACCATTTCGCTGCGTAAAGTCTCCTCCCCGCGACCGCTACATTCTGCGCCGAAACCCAGAGTCTCTCGCGGTCCGTATTTTAACTTCTTCCCACAGACCTAGTGGTACCTCGTTGGGTACCGGGAGACAGATTGGATTACTGACATCAAGGATTGAGTGTGATTTTACGCGGATGACGACTCCTTCAACGAGAATTTAGTAAAAGAAAATTGGTCGGAAATTTCAGGTAGGTGGGAACTTAAGATGGCGGCCTTAGGAGAGGGAGGGGGGCAAGGAGGAAGTAATGGGGGAATTGAAGGGGGGCTCGGACTAACGAAAGGACACAATCAGAATGCAATTTATTTGTCAGTATTTTGAACATACGTCGTTGAAATGTATTGGCACTGAATTAAAATCGAGGTCGGAGATTGAAATAAAACCCAACAGCACTGAATAAATTCAATTTCAAACGAAATTAGCTCCTTATACACATAATTTCCTCAGTGTCGCTTCTTAAGAGCCTGCCGTTGTACCCTAAGGGTCCCCCCAAATCCCCCTTATAATCATTGCAAAATGTATATGGAACTTTTATAATATAGTTTTTTCGCTCTTTTTTTATATTCACACAAAGTAATTTGTATTGGTGTGTGAAACCAAATCATTTTAACGTATTTATTATCTTGGAAACAAGATTTGACCCCACACAATGACGTCACGAGTGATTGTCCCCCTAGCTCTGTATAGTAGTGCATGCTGAAGAAGCGGGTTTTAATGCGACTTTTCAGATGTTTTTGCCTCATAGCGAAGTAACTTAAGCTAATGTGTCGGTATAAACAGGCTTCTTTTGATGGCTGGAGCATTACATAACTGCGGGTGGGGAAGATGGAGCGCCTGCGCATTAAATGAACGCACCCTTAGTAAACTCTTGTACCTTGCTAGTTAGCTTTCCTTTTTAGTGCCACCCAAGCAGTGTGTTATTGTGGAAAGCTAACATTAGCCAGCTAACCATACTAGCCAAACCGGCTGGCGTAAACGTTTAACCACTAAAATGCGTGACTTTTATGAATCACACGGTTCCCAGCGTTTTGGTATTATTACCACACTCGAGATGGGAATCTTCTTTTCATCTCATGAACACATAACTACTAAATACAAATGTCATTTCTTATGGTACATAACGATCTGAAACTTAATGCAGCTACAACTAGCACCACCATGAATTACATTTACATTCACGAGAGCATATAAATGAATGAGTGGAGGCCCGCGCTTGGTCACCGGCTTTTAGCCTGAGAGCGCGTGCTGCAGGATTCCTATCTTCCTGTGGACGACTGCAGCAAATGCAATAGCTGTAGCTAACGGAGCTGCTCGTTTAGCCCGCTCAGCGCCGCTGACAAATTTATAGTATTTTATTACTGCTGCAAAATGCCAACAAAACAGCCAAATATACCAACTACAGTCCTAGCAGTTGGCTAGCCAAAGCTATCCGAGTGTTGCTGTTGCTGCTCTCATGACGTGACATGTTACCCAGCGTCCCACACACTGCTATTTGTCTTAACTAAATTCAGACCTGAACATTAAATAAATAAATCCAGCTACGTTACAGTTTAGAATTGCGAAGTGGAGAGGGATGCAGTCGCTCGTTTGATTTTAATTAGAAAGTTGACATTTGTCTCTATTCCTTCTTCCTCAGAATATGTCGAGGGGACCCTAATTTCAGCATCCTGGAAGTAGAAAGCACTGAAGATCTGTGTCTCACACCACAGACAGGTGAGAAGTCGTTGCTTTGAAGCTGTACTTTCTCTAGTCAGATATTCTTTTTTTGTAGAAAAGAGTCCTGACTAATTGGATTTAGATGAGAGCATTGCCGCTTCTTTTTTTTAATGCAATGAGAATACAATGACCTGTACTTAAATAAACAAACAATAGCGTGGCACAGTTACAAAGAACACATAGACTCTGGTACTAAAAACATAATAACATTCATGCATACATCAAGTGACAACAGCAATCATAATATGCCATCCCTAAAACCATCAACAATACCTGAAGCTAATGTTGATGGTTTTGAGCATGGCTTACCATAGGTTTCCTGATTTCACTTGATATATATTCATGTTTTGCTGGCTGCAGGACAAATATCCCTTGGGGACAATAATATAAGATCTACAAAAGAGATATTTTCTATTTGTTGAGTTATTTTTTTCCATGTCTCTTTTTCTTTTTTCAGCATTTGTATCACCAGACACGTTTTTAACAATCTCTATCTCCCACAGGTGCAGTGTGTAGCCGGGGCAGCACAGAGAAAGCAAGCTCTGGGGAGGAGGCGGTGCGGCAGGGTGCCTCTCCGGCTGTGGATGTGCAGGGTGGCAACCCCCAGGCTGCACAGAATGTGGCTGGGGAGTCACCTCAGCATGCCCCGCAGCCGGTCGCAGCTGCCCCCCGCCCAGTCCCTCCGTTCACCAATCTGTCCACTTTGCCACTGCCAGAGAGCAACAACTCAACATTCCTCGGCATGGAGAGCGCCCGTCAGACCATCTTGCCGGAGACACTCCCGATCACCAGCGTCTCCGAAGAAGTCCCAGCTGGGGATAGTGTTGTCGGAGTTTCGAGATCCTTGCCAACATCTCTCAACGCGGACTGTAGTTCCTGCGCTGAGATGCAAGGGCTTTCAGCTCCCCTTTGTCCCCCTCTCGCCCCAGAAACACAAATTGACAGCACAGTGCAAGAGTTGCAATACGGGTCAAAAACTGATAAAGAGAAAAGCCACACAAATAGTCAGACAAATCAAGTGCCGCCTAGAGAAGCTGCTGGACTTGTGGTTATCACAGGGACAAAGGAAAAACAGTCCATCACATTGGAATATAAACCAGAGACTGGAACAAAAGTGGAACTTTGCGGAAAAGAGCACACAGGTGGAAATATTCTTCTCCGACCCAAATCTCAAATCTGTTTCCGAGCCCCAGTTCCCTCTGTCTCACAATCAAGTGTTGTTATTAAAGTCCAAGACACCACAGAACACAGGGCTATGGTCCTGGACTCGGAAACATCTACAATCCCTTTACCCTCGTCTGGAAACGGTGAGATTAAACAAAGTGACTTGTCGAAAACACAACCTAAAATCACCACAGAGCTCTCAGCTGATGCCAGAGAAATGCAGAAAGCTAATTCTTTGGAATCAGTTGAGATGTCTGAGTCTGTCAAAGAGCTTGTTGACACTTCTCACAACGAGAGACAACCTCCCTCAGCTGCAATACATGGGACCAACATCCAGAGGAGCTGCGATCCACTCGTAGGAGAGCAGGTGGAGAGTAGCATGAAGGAAGACCAAACTGACACCTCCTCATCTGACATCACAATGCTGCCAGAGTGCTCTTTCTCACAGGAGAGTTACTCGAAACCCTCTGCTGCACCCCCTCTGTTTGTCTCAGTGCAGACGGAGCTGGTTGTTGAATCGGAAACATCTCACCCCTGTGAACAAGAGACGCCACTAACTGCCGAGCTTGTGCATTCAGCCGAGGCTCAAGAAATCGTTGTGGTCAGGGAGGAAGCTCACATCAGCGGGGACTGGACTAACATGCACCTGAATCAGAGTTACCTCCTGCAGAGAGAAGATGGCAGCGTCTGTGAAGCTGCCATTGTAAACCAGCTGAGTTCTGGAGAACCAAAGCTGTATGAAGAAAGTGTTCAAGCAGACACCGAGATGGACTCGCAGCCTGTGGAAGTGTACGAGTTTTGCACCCTGGTGGAGGAGGTTGCGGAGGAAGTATGTGCCAGCAGCAGCGCACTGGTACCCCACTCTCCAGGATACGAGGTGAACTTATTCAACGCATTACTCGAACACTCTGTGGACCTTGAACCAGCAATTCACACACTTAATGAAAGTGAACCTGTCATTATTTCCCAGGAGCCTTCAGCATCGCATGATGCAAATCAGATACAGGCAAACCTTAATTCCCATAATTTGTCCATACAAAACACTGGGGCAGCTGCTGTCGTCAGGCAGCATTTGGTATTAGATGCTAACCAAGCTGTTCAAGTGGCTAACTCAAGTGAGGTTTGTTTAGTTGAAGTAGCTGCTGACTCATTCACTGTTGAACAGACAGACACTGGCCAACAAACACCTTGCTCACAGGTCAATGAGGCAATATCAGACCAAACAGAGTTGAGTGATTCTCCTGCAATTCAAACGACTCTCCTTAAACAGAAAGCAGAAGCAACAGCTGGTGCACTGTCTTTCATAGCCCCCTCTCTAAATCAGACTGTAAGTGCTACAAAGCGTGAGGCCTGTGTTTCTTCACATGAAGGGACCAAAGGAACCCCCCCTGCTTTGACTGAGACTCCATCACAGAAAATCCAGAATGTTGCTGTGCCCACAGAAACCAAACCAGAGGCTTTCTGCACCACTCGCCACTCTGGTACTATAAATCCAAAGCTGCTCCTTCTTAAACCGGGAGAAACTCCTCTCCTGAAGCACCCACCCTCCCTTTTGGCACGGCTGTCCAAGCAACAGAATGCGGCTGGCAAGCTGGCAGTGAATGCCCACAGCTCTGAGGAGTGCCTTCCCCAAACTGTCTCGGACTCTTTATGTGCGCCTGTGGCTCTTGGCGGCCAGAAAGATCAGACGCAGTGCTCTGTCAATACAATTTCTGTGTCAGCAGCCCCGCCTGTCAAGGTACAGCAGCCCACTACGAGCGGTATCTCACTTCAACCTGTCCAGACTGCATCTGTCACAACCTCAACAAGCAAATCTGACAAAGAGGCCTTAAATGTTACTGAAACTACAAGTGAAAAGTCCCAAGATGTTGTCACCCCTACTACGTCTAACGCCCTTTACATGCTCTCAGCACCAGTGGAAAGGGAAGATGAAGCATCTACCAGTCTCAATGATCCCCCCAGCCAACAGGACTCCCTCCATGTGGAGGAAGAGAGTGAAGACATGGAGCCGGACGAACCAACGGACGAAACCGAGGCTCAGGAGGACGCCTCAGGGCAGGTCAGCAGCCCAGAAGAAGGAAGTGACGAAGAACCAGACTGCGACAAAACGGAAGGCGAGATGAACACCCCCAGCTCTCCAAACAAGGTATTTTCATGAAGAAATGATTTGTCCTTGAATGTCACAGTGGGAAAGTTGTGTCAGCCTTGATTTAACAAGGACACAACTGAACAACTGAAATGAAAACAATGTTGAGTTTGTATCTAGGCATCTATTACATTTTGATAAAGATGGGGCAGATATGTGTTTATTAGCTGCTCCCTGGGGTATGTCATTGTTTCAGACAATGCTGTCCTTTACTTTTCCAATCTGAATGATGTGCCACACTAGAGGTAAAGAGCTATTCTCACTATGTATTAGGGCTGCTCAATTAATTGTATTTTAATCGCAATTACGATTATGGCTTGCAACGATTACGAAAACAACGTAATCGAAATAAAACGATTATCTTTTTATTATTATTATTACTTTACTATTACTTTTTTTTTTATTATTGGTTTTTCAGTTGAATTAGACTTAAAGTTCAGAGTAATCAACTGTTAAAAACATACTGTTCACATTTTTTTTCTCCAATAAATTGATGTTTTCAAAGTAAATGGATAATCGTTTTTAATAATCGTGATATCAATTATTGACCAAAATAATCGAGATTATGATTTTTGCCATAATCGAGCAGCCCTACTATGTATTGTGAGGAACACTCTTTTACTACATATAACACAAAGATATATTTAAGCTGTGGTGATGTTCCGCAGGTGTATGACTTTTTTGTTATTGTGTACTATTTACTTGTTTTATCTATGCTTAATTTAAACGAAAGTAATATTTGTCATAAACACCATCATTATTATGCTCCTGTAATTCAAATCAGGTTTGAAGCATGTTTGTCTTAAGATGGCATCACTCTATACATCCTTCTGCATGTTGGTACATGTTTATATCACTCATGTGTGTTATTTAGTGATTTATTTATTTTAAGTTGGCCGCATGCTAAGCCATGTGTGTTGTCCAGCATGGACAGAGCAGGACAGACAGAAAGGCAATATTCCTGAAGGTAAGTGGTGGCTGTCAGACAACCACATAGGTTCCTTTCACACAGGATACTCACCAGCACTTCCTAGTCAGGCGCTGTCACTGCTAATGCCAAGGAGCACTTTGACTTCTTCTATTTGATGATTGTTATTCTGCATGAGGCAAAAGCTGACTGAAAGTCACTAATGACTAGTTTATAAAGTGGTGCAGTGATGAGATGTTTTTGTAGACCGACCAGGAAGTCAACATCGCAAGGGCTCTTTCCACAAAAAGCGGGGAGGGATATATGTTTTTGGATTTTGGAATTTTGAAAATGTTTCTGAACGTTTTCTTCAACAGGATAATCTTCACATATTAACACCACTTTATGATTTTTGAAGCAAATATGCAATTGCCATAGGTAAAGAGATCATTTTAGGTTTTTAACAAACTACATGATGGTCGCATGAATCATTCCTGCACCACTTTATGGTTCTGGAGCATTTCAGGATTTGCTTACTATAAATGCTTGTTACCCAATTCATGCATGTGGCTTTGTTCTTAGTGAACTTTACTGCTTTCACCTTTTAAAATAATTTCCTCTTGTGCTTCTTTATCCTTAACCTTCAGGTACTCCAGTGGATAGCAGACAGGGTCACGGAAAATTCATCTCCCGTCTCACCCTCCACCTCTTCTCACCCGGGTCCCTCACCCTCCAGTGATTGGTCGAACCTACAACGGGACAAGTCTTCACCTCTCCGGGGTCCTCATGGGAAGTTTGTGTCTCCCATTTCTACTGGCGGCAGATGCAGTTCCTCCTCTTCCCCACCTGATCAGGTCACTCCTCAGCGCCCCCGCGGAGAGCGTCACACAGACATGGCAGAGCTGGCTAAACATGTGAGTGATCCATAACTTGCCCTATGACACGCTGTAATGACTTTTTTCTTTTGAAGAAGCAAGACTAAATGGGCTTAGGGGAACTTACAATAGTTGTTTAATCAGAAATACAAAAATGTCTTAAGTTTCCACAGGTGGTTTAAGGTGTCATTCATTAAGTTTACCTGCAAAAGAATAATTCACTAGCAAATATGACCATCTGTTCGGATAGCCAGAATATTTTTTTGTAGCGTTTGCTGACATTGGAGTACATTTTGATAGGCAGCATTGAGAATTCAAGTCTCAATAGGAGTTTCTGTGCAGTTTGCAACACCCAATCCTCTTGCCTGCTCTGTGCAATGAGCAAAATTCTACTAGACAAGAATGTGTGGAGTCTGTTCTCGTGCATAGCAGCCATTAAAGGAGTAGCTCATAGAACACAGTTTTGCAAAATTGCGACAACGAGCGTATTAGAGGAGCAACATGACAGCAGTTAGAAAAGGATGGTCTTTCAAGTTATTTGAAGGGCGTGTGCGTACCCCATGGGGTTGACATTTTTTGCAGAACGAACTGTTGCATGCTAAAAGAAATATAAGTGGAATAATCTCTTTGATTAGCCATTCAAACGGCTTGGGAGTAACATTATCTTTTTTGGAATAAGGGCAATCAAAGGATAGAATCATTAATATGAACAGCTGGTGAAAAATACAAAAAGCACAATGGACATTGATTGCTGTGGTTATAAAGGAATACTGTAAGCTTTTTCACATTTATATATTTTTTTGATGTCATGATAAAGGCTTTGAGATTGAATAATTGAAGAGAGTGAAAGAAATGATGAAAAGACCTTAAACTCCCAACCTGCAAAGTTGAAGGCTCCCTGTTTCTTTGTAATTCCTGATTCGCCCACTGATACAAATTTGTCTTTGATGTTGTTACTTACTCTTCTGGATTATACTTGAGAGCTGTGTAGAACTCTGCAGTGAATAATCACAAAGTCTGGAAGACACAACCACTATTTACCCACAAATCGTCTGTACAGCTGCAGACCAGAAGAACATCTTCTGAGGCGATGCAGGGTTGATTTGTATTTAAAACAGTCTTTTCATTGAGGAAAACAGTATCTCTGTTTCGAACCATTCACGTATTTAGTCCCCTGAAATGTGTAGTGAAAAATTCGGAAATGCTGCTCAAATTTGAAGCATGTTATGTTCAGATTGAGTACTGAACAACAATGACATGAATTTGCGTAGCTGACCTTACTGGTGAAATCGTTTTTGTTGTGGTAAAAACAGTAATTTGCAAAATAGCAAGAAAAGTGGGGCGCCCCACTGTGTTGTTATTAATACTGTATATCATTAGCAGTGGAGAAAAGACTGCTGCACAATTTCTACCAGGGAAAGCCGGTATTATGTTCTACTGAAACGGACCATCAATTGTTCTGCCACTTGCAAGTATTGCAGTGTTTGTTAAAGCTGAAGTTTTGGGCTCCACTCTGCTTAAGACTTTCTCCGGTTTAAGTTGTATGACACATTTACAAATAGTACCCCTTTTTCCTACCCCATTTCTAGGGTTTGCATGCTGTACACCGTCCTGGCTACCAGTTTCTGTAACATTGTTGTAGCACTCTGATGTGTTTGCAGGATTTACTGAGAGGTTTGGCCTTTGTGTGTCTGTAGGAAGCAGACATCGAGCATCGGACCCAGTCACTGAAGCGGGAGGGCTTCTGGTCAACGAAGCGTCTCACCCGCCTGACGGAGCCGCCGCGACCCAAAGTTCACTGGGACTACCTGTGTGAGGAGATGCAGTGGCTCTCTGCAGACTTCGCTCAGGAGAGGCGCTGGAAGAGAGGAGTGGCTAGAAAGGTAGGTTGAGTGTTTTTGTTCCCAGAAATGTTAGTGTTTCACAAGCTTTATTAAAATAATAAGTATATCGTATATATGTTTTAAGTTGTGTTATTTTGTCACGTTATTAGGTGGTCCGAATGGTGATGAAATACCACGAGGAGCTGAGGCAAAAAGAAGAAAAAGCCAAGCGAGACGAGCACTCTAAGATCAGAAGAGTCGCCTCTTCTATCGCCAAGGAGGTCCGGGCTTTCTGGAGCAGTGTGGAGAAGGTACAGAGGAGAGAAAGACAAGCAAACAAAACATTCTGCTCAGCTGTGGAATTAGAAGAGACGCCGGTGTAGTGTTTGAATGTTTTTGTCACAGAAAGAAAATGCACTTGTAGGAAAATAGAATACATATTAACTATTTAAAAAAAGATTTTGCATCAAAATAAATTATTAACTTTAAGGCATAAATTAAAAATGCTAACTGAAAATATAGTCTGTAGAAGAAGCCTTTTTAAACCTACCGTTTTTTACTTGGCATACACTTATAGGCAACTCTTTCATTATTGGGTGTAGGCTTTACAAATAAAATACATTCCTTTGCATTTCTTATGTTAGTAAGATTAGGCGCTTTCACACCAAGTACTTTGCCTTACTTAGTTCCCAGTACTTAGTTCGTTCTGATGAACTAAGTACAGATCGCGTTCACACCGGAATGAGTCCCTGAGGGAGGATTAGGCAAATGAAGCCGCTGACGTCACTTCTTCTTCTTCTGCTTTGGGTTTACTGGCAGGCCGCAAACAACTTCACGGCGTATACTGCCACCCGAAGTCCGCGGCCGGAAGTCCCCGGAGTTGGGGACTGGCTTCAGTAGAAGCTGCTGGGACACCCAGCAGCTTCTACTGAAGCCTTCCGAGTAAATCGCCAGAACGCCGACACCTCCTCATCTCCACCGCTCCCATGTTTTATTTTGTGTTGCCATAAGTTAGTCTCTCTCCGTTGGTGCGCTGGGCTAATGCTAATGCTAATAATGCTAATGCCAGCAAATAAAATGGCGGCTTCACAAAACAAGAACTATCGGAACTATACTGGGAAAAGTACTCCGGTGTGAAAGTGCCTAATTATATGTGAAACACCTTTATGTTTAAACATTTTCTAATCACAAATGGCACTTGACATTATGTATGCCTGTGTTTTTATATGTATTGCAATGATTTTAGACAATTTAAAATGATTTATGTGTGTTTCCTAATCTAGGCAAAATTATCAAACGTTTTCTTAATTTAATCAAAAATTGGTCACGGCTAATTAAAGTAAAAGTCACCCCTTGTTAAGAGTACTTCTGTTTTGTCCATTAAGGTGGTTCAGTACAAGCAGCAGTCCAGACTGGAGGAGAAGAGGAAGAAGGCTTTGGACCTTCAGCTGGACTTCATTGTCGGACAGACGGAGAAATACTCTGACCTCCTCAGCCAGTCGCTCGCACCTACCGGACCTGCCGAAGCTGAACCTGAACCTGAGCCTGTCACAGAGACTCCCCAAAAACCTGCGACTCCTGCCGCTGATGAGGAGGGTGAGAAAGTGTTTTTTTAATTAAAAAAATACCCCTGCCCCTCATAAAAAAAGCTCACTGTCTCCATGTTAAAGCACTGAGTGTGTTCAGAGCTGAATCATTGGTTCAGACGGTGACGTTGTCATAGCTACACACCAATGATTTAATCTTCTTAAAGGCACACAAAGGTAAAATGTTTCATGGAGACAAAAAGCTGTCAAGGACATTGCATCTCTTGAGAGATTTGTTCTGTGCAAATCCAACGTGATGAGCTCGAATGTAATAGCAGTGAGGATGTTGAGGTTAATATTCGTCAGTGCAGTAAAACGCTTCTTGGCACATCTCCAGTGCACCTTACTGAGCACTGCTTGTGAACCGTCAAGCTGGAGACTTGTCAAACCTGTCAGACTAGTCTGCTGCACCGTGTTATCAATGGCACTTGATTCTTTAAGCAAGCCAGACTTAAGTGTAAGGCTTTGTTCAGTCAGAGGAAGGACAAACGTGCCAATCCCTAAAGGAATGATTACCCACACCATGTTTCCTTGACTTCCTGAATAAAACTTTGTTCTTGAAAACTTCACTATTCCTACTGTGTAAACCACTTCCTAAAAAAACGGTCTCCTGCTTGTGTAGGCACACTTGGCTTCCTCAGATTCCTTGTTGACCATGGAGGCATGTGAGAAAAAACATGGTATTATTAGAGAATTCGGGTTGCCTAAGGGAAGGTTTTGAATAGTTAGTGATCCTGTCTTTTAAAGATCTTGCAATGTTTTGGTGGTATTAAAATGAAATTACATTGAACAATCTCAAGCTTAACGAACCCAGGTTTAATATTCCGCTTATCGACTGTGTCTGAACCATATTACTTCCTGAAGCCATAATAAGGAAGCATTTATTGGCTTCGAAAATGGATGTACTAAATGGTCTAGATACATTATACATCTCTTTTGTTCCCCTTAGAGATGTGAACAATAATCAGAAAAAAAAAAAATGTTTCCTTACAAAACCGTTCTTGTTTCTTGGTGCAGACAGAGACTTTGAACCTCCCTGTGAGGAAGAGGATGATGAACAGACCTTAGATGTGGAGGAGCAGCAGGAGGGCAATGATGCTGAGAGCCATCGGAGGGAGATTGAACTGCTGAAGGAGGAGGGCATGCTGCCCCTGGACCAATTACTCAGCACCATCAAACTGGCTCAGGTACAGCCACTAAACTGATTGGACCTGAATTATTGTCAAATGGCATAAGATCACTGAACACAGTTATATTTTGGTCACAAGCTCTTCAATTCAAACATTGACATATGGTTAATCTTTTCTGTCCATTAATTGCTGATCATCACGTTTAGAAATGTATAATCTAAATAAAGCCTAATTCTAGTGCTACAACATGTAAATGACTTAATTCCATCATAAGATTCAACTGAACCCACACTTAATACACACATTGCATTTATTCTAATACACACTCTTATTATCCTAATACACACTCTTTAAAAAATGGCAACAATCAAACTTCAGGGCAATCCAGATGGGCTCATCTTTTCCCCTTGAAATAATGATTTTAGGATATTTTATTTAACTGGGATTGATGCTCAAAACATGACATTTATTTACAATTGTTAACTGAAAATCGCCCTCTATTTTGTGGAACGTTAACAAAATTGCCTGAAAAGTACTGTTGTTTTTTTTGATTGGGTGCCTTTATACAGATCAAATGTGTTTGCATTTAATTGAATCACTGAATCGTTACATAGGAGTCGGTCTCAGATGGAGAATGCTCTGATGAAAGCTCTTCATCAGAGGTGAAGGAAGAGGAAGATGGTGAATTCACTGCCAATGAAGAGGATGGTAAGATGGATCTCGTTATAAGATGCGGGGAAAAGATGCACAGATGTATTTAGTTTAATGACCTGACATTTGACTATTATTGATGTAATACTGGTTTACTCTGTCTTCCCATTTTCAGCTAAGGATGAGGAGGACACCATAGATGACCAGGAGAAGGTGGAGGGAGATGTGAACCATGCAGAGGAACTTGATGACTTGGCCAGAGAAGGTACTTGGCATGAAATAGCAATGGGAGTTGCTCACGTTGAATAGCCTATTGTAGATACTTTGTGTAATCGTTTATACATTTTGTTTAATTCCTCTCATCTTTGTTGAAGAGCTTCCTTTTCCTGATAAGGTGTGTATAGGAATAAACGTACTCAACTTTTAATCTCTTCAAGAATTTATGTAATGGTTAGGCCAGCACTTATGACAAAAAAAACAATCTGGTTTCCTCCTGAATGTTTTAGATTACAAAATCTGAATGGCAATGGCACGCCGAACCAAAGGGAGAGATGCCAACAAAAAATAGTTTGGGTCAATATCACCATATAAAAAAAAGATTTAGGGCATAAAGTATTTTGACAAGATATTTATGGTTTCTAGTATTTTTTTTTTAGTTAGCTGAAAATAACACAGATGACACTTATCTCCATTCACAAAAAAAAACTACCTAAAAATGACAGATTAAATAAACATATTCTGTGTATGCTCATACGTACACTGGTGGCAAAGGTCATTTCAGGATTGATTAACACTCCCATGCAGTTTGCAACGTGTTGTTTAGTTTGGACATGTTGACTACAGGGGCCAGGAATTTAACTAATGACCCTCTTATGGGTAGACGACGCATATTTAATATAGGTGAAAACATATATAAAGTTGGGTATATGTAGAATGATAAGCACAGAATTCTAGTTTGACAAAAACTGATCCTTAAACCTCTCCTTGCAGTGTTGTTGCCCTTCTTCAAACTGCTGTGTATTGTGTATATGCCATTTCATTCACACTAAGCCGTGCCCTGTTTAAAAACCATGAGCAGTAAACATCCGCCCTGACATATTTCTGCTTCCCTTGTAGGTGAAATGAGCGTCGAGGAGCTGCTGGAGAAGTACAAAGGAGCGTATGCATCAGACTTTGAGGCTCCGTCTGGATCTGGCTCTAAAGAGAGTTCTGATTCGGAGGTGTCTGGGGATGAGGAGGAGGAGACTGAAGAAGATGAGAGTGATGTGGAAAGCAACTCTTCCTCTTCAGGTATTAACCGCTCACAAAGATTCTCAAATAATCTTGTATACATTGTTTATTTGACCCATTTATTTCTGCATATTAAAAAAAAACAATTTGCTGCTTTTAAACTACTCAAATTAAATATTAAATGAGTAACTCTTTCAAATGTGCTTTTTTCAGATTCAGCAGGAGAAAGCGGGGAAGATGATGACAGTGAGAAAGAAGAAGAGGGGAGTGAGGAAGAAGAAGAAGATGATGATGATGGCTGTGGAGATGAAGGGATGGAGGTTTTGCTGAAGGAGGGAGACAACAGCCCACCTTCTTCCAGCTCACGACCAAAGAAAGAGATCAGCCACATCGCTGCCACTGCAGAGAGCCTGCAGCCAAAGGGCTACACGTTGGCTACTGCAAAGGTCAGCCTGAAATATTCAAGTGTTGTTCTTTTTAATGACAAAAGAAAATCTTTATATCTTTTTATATTAGAAGAGTAATGATTTTATTCATTTTTACATGTTTTCTTTTCAATTGTTTGGCCTGTAAAATGCCGTAAAATATTGAACATTTCCATCCAGTTCCTGGTCGTCAAGGGTTAGGTCTTTACATGTCTCGTTTTGAAAGTCCAAAACTCGAATGTATACATTTTTAATATAATTCCAAACATAAAAAGCATTGAATCTCCATATTTGAGAGACTGAAAACCGCTTTTTCTTCCATTTCTGCATGAAAAATGTCTTTATTAGTCAACTTGTCATTGCAGCTGTGTGGAAACACTCTAATAGTCTAAGCTCGGGTTGCTTGTTTTGTGTCCTATGCAGTTCTGCCCTCTAATTTTCTCATCTTCTTTCCAATGAAAGGTCAAGACCCCCATCCCCTTCTTGCTTCATGGCACGTTACGAGAATACCAACACATTGGACTTGACTGGCTGGTCACCATGTACGAGAAAAAGCTCAACGGCATTCTGGCTGATGAGATGGGACTGGGCAAGACTATCCAGACCATCGCTCTGCTGGCTCACCTCGCCCTTGAAAAAAGTAACCAAACTGCTCCTGATGCTTTAAGCACTATTTATACAAATGGCAGTTTAATCGTGTAATTCATCTGGAGTGCTACTCATATTTTGTAAGCTAAATTAAGTTCTTCTTTTACGTTCAACTGTTGATTTCATTCGACTTGTGTTCAGGTAACTGGGGGCCTCACCTCATCATCGTCCCCACCAGTGTGATGTTGAACTGGGAAATGGAGCTAAAACGATGGTGTCCTGGATTTAAAATCCTCACATACTTTGGCAGCCAAAAGGAGAGAAAGCTGAAGAGACAGGTAAAGAGTTAACATCACAGTTGGCCTCTCATCTTTAACTGAACGATTGTTATTATGCTCGCCAGTGGGTGAAAGCCAACCCCAGAATCTCTTTGCTTCACAAAGCATGATTTTGGACATACCTCAAGAATTCATAAGCTAATTATGACAATTTCACACAAATTAATAATGGGGTTAAATGATGAAGTGATGACATTTTGGAAAGATGTGGATGTAAACTGCAACTTGACTAGTTTTGGGGGAGGCATTCAACCGCAAGGCAAAGATTCTAGTTTCGTACAAATTGCATTATTTCTGGTGAGCAAACGTTCTACTACAAGTCTACAGTGTGATGGATGTGGTCACAGTTAGTTGTAACCAAGCACCAAGGATGTGATCTCGCCGTTGAGGCAAATTGGACGGTGGAACTTCTGTGTCATGAGATCGTTAGACTTTTTCCATTGACTAACATTGGCAAAGATATAACTGTAAATCAGCATATAATCTTTGTTGCTAAAACAACGCCAATGCTAGTTCGGTTGAATAGCCCTTATTTAAATCATTAGGTACTCGAGAGTCCATGAACCACTGACCAACTTTCATGAACATCTAATGCTGTATCTCGCTCTCTTGTTACGCTCATGGTTGTAACCATATTGTTTGTTTTGTCTTAGGGCTGGACGAAGCCTAATGCTTTCCACGTGTGCATCACTTCGTACAAGCTGGTGCTGCAGGATCACCAGGCGTTCCGACGCAAGTCCTGGAGATACCTGATCCTGGACGAGGCACAAAACATCAAGAACTTCAAGTCTCAGCGCTGGCAGAGCCTGCTGAACTTCAACAGGTCAGTAATGATTTTTAATTTTAAATAGACATGTACTAACTAAGGGTTCTAAATAATAAAAACAATGTAATAAAAAATAATCTGGTTTCCCCCCCAAACCTCCAAAATAAAGAAGCAAAAAAAGTTAGCACTAGAAGGGCCGTTGCTTAAGGCTCAAACATGCAACCCTGCCTCTGCAGACACGCACCAGTGTCATTTAAGTGTACTTACTTGCTGTACTTTGTCCCTTCTAAACTTTATACAGGGGATATGTGCTCTGACTGAAATGCAGGTTTAAATGCCTTTTTGTTTTATGTTATGTCCCTACTATCCAAACCGTCTCTTTGCAGGTTTAAATAAATATGGTTGTAAAAAGATACTAGGACACTTTAAATGCATTGGTGCACGTTACTTTTGAAAGGTTTTGAGAGGGATCAGTTTTTAAAATTTCAATCGAACATTTCGTAGTAGTAGGCCAATACGTTTTACGGATATCAGTAATGCAAGCAATGACAAGTTTTGATTATCAGGGTGCGTACGGGTGCTGGAAATCCTTGAAAATGCTTGAAATTGTACGAGGTGTTTTCAAGGTTTGCTTGCATTTTGGGAATGGTGCTTGAATTTGGGATAAAGTGCTTGAAATTGTAAATGCTTTACTTCGCTTTATAGATTAAAAGAAAATAAAGAAGTCGGAGCGGGCTTAATTGCTTCGCTTTTACATAAAACAGCTCCGCCCCGGCCTTCCCGCGCTATGCGCGTGACCGGCAAGTGTTTTTGTTACGTGTGTGACCTGGGCATTCTGATGAGAGTGATAGATGACAGTATGCCAGGAGGTTGCCGTTTCAACGAGCGTTGGCTAGCAGAAGACAAATACAAGCCATGGCTAAGACGAGGGTCAAGCGAAGCCCAAGAGTAGCCTCCTGCAAAGTGTGCAACAATAACGATGCGAGAGTCTGCGCTGACGAGCCACACACCACACGAAAGGTACGCCATAGTAGAGCATTTTAGATTAGGCTATCGTTGCATGTAAAATACATGACACTTTTCTCTGTGCGCGGCAAAACAAGCTCGCCAAAATGGCTTCACTAGTCTGGCAGTATTTTAAGTGTCCGAAAATGACAATAAAATAGCGGTATGCAACGTGTGTGTGAAGCAGAAATCCTGCAGCTCCGCCCGCTGTGACGGACCGGTGAGCGAAGCAGAACACACATTAAGAGTTAGACCTAACACACTTAGCTATTTTATCTACCTCTGGAACAAGCTAAACTAGTTATAAATATATTTATTCTTCACTGTCGGGTCGCTCATTACTGGATCAGTGAGCTGCAGGAGATACTGACGGGCTGTCAGGAGAGAGAGAGAGAGGGGGAGAGAGGAAAAGAGAGCGGTATCGGCCGATACTGATTCCGGCGATCGGCTCCAAAATTGGCGATCGGAGCATCCCTAATAATTGTATATGATATGTTTTATAATGATTGATCATGAAAGTGTTATCAAAGCTGGTAAAGGTGCAGCTAGTTTGAATGACTTTGTATACTACAGAGTAGCTTGTGAATTTACTCCAGGTGGAACTAAAGTCTGATTTAACACTTGATTATATTTCACATCATTCATCCACATCTGTAAAGTAACTAAAGGTATTAAATACATGTAGTGGAGTCAAAGTACACCATGTACCTCTGACTTGTGTTTACTGCCAACCTAAAAGTACCTCAAAAATAGTAATCAATAATATATTGAAAAGTTATTTGGCTGATTGTTTTATATTGGCTCAGCCAGGTTATATGGGATGCCCAGTCTACGTACAGATAGGTCACACATTTGGAAATATTAAACTTAGTTTTCTTTTCTAACATTTTTAATTTTTCATCCTCATGTAGAATGCTATTATGAAACACACATTTGGTTGTTTATAGCATAAAGAACATCTGATTTAATGTGAGGTAGGGAAATAATCATTTGAGTATAAGTATGTGTATATCAATATGTAATTTACAACAGCTGTAAGATGCTTGAAAAGCTTGAAAATGCACCTTGAAAATGCTTGAAAAGTGCTTGAATTTGACTTTGGAAAAGGTGTAAGAACCCTGGATTATACAAAATGATTTGCTGTGATTGAAGCATTACATTTAGCCTGCAGAGTCTGGCAAACATCCATAGGCGCGTTCACACCGGAGTACTTTTACCCGTACTTTTCCCGTTTAGTTCCGATAGTGCCTGGAATTTAGCGTTCACACCAAAAAGAGTACTTGGTTCAGAGAACTTTTACCCCCATTTTTAGTGCCTGCTAGAGATGTGGTACTATCCTGGGGAGAAAAAAGTACCAATTTCGATTGGCTGTGCGAATTGCAAACCACGCCCCGTAAAACTCTGACAAGTTTTGTGAAGCCGCCATTGTATTTGCTGGCATTAGCATTATTAGCATTAGCATTAGCCCTGCGCACCAACGGAGAAAGAATAACTTATAACAACACAAAAAAAAACATGGGAGTGGTGGAGATGAGGAGGTGTCGGTGTTCTGGCGATTTACTCGGAAGGCTTCAGTAGAAGCTGCTGGGAGTCCCAGCAGCTTCTACTGAAGCCAGTCCCCAACTCCGGGGACTTCCGGCCGGGGACTTCGGGTGGCAGTATACGCCGTGAAGTTGTTTGCGGCCTGCCAGTAAACCCAAAGCAGAAGAAGAAGAAGTGACGTCAGCGGCTTCATTTGCGTAATCTTCCCTCAGGCAACTTATTCCGGTGTGAACGCGATCTGTACTTAGTTCCATGGGGGTACTAAATGCTGGCACTAAGTACGGCAAAGTACTTGGTGTGAAAGCGGCTATTGTGTCAATTTTTCCAAAAGCACTTTTGCACTAACCCTGATATTAAGCATTGCTCCGTATATGACATAATACCCTAGTAGACACGGATGATCGTGGCTCCAGCATTATTTTTGGAAATAAGAAAATCTGTACAGATGTTTTATGCAAGCATTATGTACCAAGTACTCTTGTACAAAATAGCACATTCAAGGATGCTTTTCTGTCTTTAAGCTGCCGCTTGTCACAAATAGTCAGTGTGCATTCAGCTGTAGAGAATATGCTATAATTTAACATTAGACATGTTTAACTTTTAATTAATCTCCGAAATACACCCAAGCACGTAACTGTTTATCCACAGGTCACAGTGGTGTGGATGTGAATGTTAACTAGCTTATCCTACAAATATCATTTATTTTTCTTGTTTTTTTTTGTATCAAAGTGGCTGTAATTAGACTAACTAGCCATCATTTGGCTAGAGGCCTGTTCCAGCTGGTGGCAATTTATCACTGGTACGTGGAGCTTCAAGGAGAAGCTGAACACACCGTTTTATTACACACAAGCTTTTAGACATAGATCTTCTTCAGCCGTACCCAGTACATGGAGACAGAAAGAGCACTTATATGGGCACTCTGTGATGAACCCCAATAATTAAAAAAACATCTGCGTATCTTGAACGCAACATTCTTGAACTCGGGTCTTGTAGTCCTAAGAGATGTTTTCTGCCCATTTGTGACGGGATTGCATATTAGTGATTGAAGGGATGATAGACAATTATTTTCCTATGCTAATATTAAGCCGTTTTAAAGCTAATTTACCGACAACTACTGTATAAAAAGTTATACATGCAAACAAACAATGATAAAAAAATAATAGATAAACTATCAGTCATAACTTCTGAAATAATGACAAATTCACCTATAGGTCCCAAACAGAAAGGTATATACAAAATCTCTAAAATGTACAATAAATCTTTCTGCATATATCAACATGTTGATTTCCCTTTTACAGCCACCGGCGCCTGCTGCTGACAGGAACTCCTCTCCAGAACAGCCTGATGGAGCTGTGGTCTCTGATGCACTTCCTCATGCCCCACGTCTTCCAGTCCCACCGCGAGTTCAAGGAATGGTTCTCCAACCCGCTGACGGGAATGATCGAGGGCAGCCAGGAGTACAATGAGGGCCTGGTCAAGAGGCTGCACAAGGTGCTGAGGCCGTTCCTGCTCAGGAGGATCAAGATTGACGTGGAGAAGCAGATGCCCAAAAAATACGAGCATGTTGTGCGCTGTCGCCTCTCCAAGAGACAACGGTTTCTCTACGATGACTTCATGGCACAGGCCTCGTAAGTTACTACACATCAGAGATGATCCAGTACACAGCAAAAATCTTTTGGGGATTTAAAATTAATTATGAGCCTCCTAAAGATTTCTACTTGGGAAAAGCAGATTAGTTTTTTTCAAGATGGATTTAAAGGCACACTCATATAAAAAATAACTTTTTTTTTCTCTAATCTGTCCTTATATTAATGAATTAAGATTGTTTTAGAGTGGGTTGCCGAGTGTTAAATATATTGAGTGTAGAGATGTCATCTCTGAATATAGAATATGATTGACCTACATGGGAAAGGGTTTGTGCTGTTTTGGGGTCTACACATTATTCTGTATTATTATATTTAGCTTGGTCTACTCAATAAAAAGTTTAGTTGTCATTGGTCCAAGAAGTTTGGGCTTTTTTGGTTAAATCAAACAATCACAGACCCCGTTTTCTATTTGATTTATTCCCATAAATAACTTTAATGCTTGAAGTGTTTATTTCCGGTGTTTTTCTCTTGTCTTACTAGCGTTTGTTTCTGTTTCACAGGACCCGGGAAACGCTGGCGAGTGGTCACTTCATGTCTGTGATTAACATCTTAATGCAGCTCCGCAAAGTGTGCAACCACCCCAACCTGTTCGACCCTCGGCCCATCCAGTCGCCCTTCATCACCAAGCCCATTGTTTTCCATACAGCCTCTCTGGCGATGGACGCTCTGGAGATCTCCCCTTTGAAGGTTAGCTTTAAAGAAAAAACTGAAAAAGCTTTAATTTGGTCCGAATGTATTTTTTTCGTCAATTCTGTAATGCTGAGGAGTGGATGTTTAAATGTATTACTTTTGTTTTTGTGTCATCAGCGCTGCGACCTTTCAATGTTTGACCTTGTTGGTTTGGAGAGCCGTGTGTCCCGCTACCAGGCAGACATCTTCCTGCCACGCCACAAGGTCAACCGGCAACTCATCCAGGAGGTCATGGATTACCCTGAACCCCCTCCGAGACCTAAACCGGTCCGCATGAAGGTCAACAGGTACGCAGTGCAAATACTTTTATAACCACACATTGTGTAGCCAAACCCAAATGGCTTTCCCAGAATAGTACAGCTGAACCTACACCAGTATTCTCAATTTAAATATCAATGTGTCAGTCTAGAAAAGCTGACCTCTACAAACAAAAGTCAATCCAGATTATTTTTTAAATACAAAATCCAAACAGTTTTCATCTTGCTCGATGCAATACAAAGATTGGTATTAAACTTCTTAAGTTGCATTAAAATGTGTGGCCAGGCAACCATCATAGTAAATGTTAAGATGTTGTCTTGCTTACTTTTCCCATGATCAATCAAAATCGGACAATCTATAAAGCAAACAGTGTTGGTGAGTGTGGACAAACATGCAAGTGATCATAGTAAAACTGTGTTTGATTTTGATTAGAAAACACCACTTTTTGGATAACCGTAAACTAATTTAAATAAAGGGAAAAAAGGTAAACAAATAAATTGAGCACTTTGGAAAAGCTTAAGTTGGTGTAAAATGTATTATAAAAATCAATAAATTAAGACATTGATTGATCTTCTGTATGTTGGTCTGTCTCTGCTTTAGGATGTTCCAGCCGCCTCCTAAAAGTGATAACCGACCGGTCCTCCTGATGAATAAACCCACCTGCTCAGTGCCTCCTGCAGCACAGACCCCCAAATCTCTAGTTACTGAAGTCTCCACAGCTGCTGCTCCTGCTCCTGTGGTTCAACAAGGCAAGTGAAAAGGAACATTTATGTATCCTCTAAATGAATCTTACATTTGCAGATCTTTTTATTATTTTTCTCCTAATGCTTTTTCCTTTTTTTTAGTGGTGTGTACAGTGGCAACCACGGCCCCCCCTCGCCTGCCCATGCATCCAACTGCTCAAATTGCAGTGAGAGCCAGCGCCCCAAAGCCAGTGCTGACCGTTCGGCCTCCCACTGCTTCCTGCACCACCAGCATCGCCGCTCATCCAGGCCCCGTCCCCGGCAGCGTCCTGCCCCAGAGGGTGCTGCTCAGTCCGGACATGCAGGCCAGGTTGCCTTGTAAGTGTAGAGGGTCATTTCCAGTGTCCAGTTGTTTGAAGAGGAGATGATCATGATCTGTTCTGAGAGTCAATCTGCACTGAATACTAGCTGTCAGTTTGATTTAATATTTAAAAAAACACTTTAGTAACTTTTATTTTATTTAAAGTCAATTCAGCGGCTCATAACAGCGTATTAAGGCCATTTTTGGTGAGGAAAACACATTTCAATATTCAATTAAATCTTATATAAAATATCTTTCACTATTCAATAAAAACATATTTCATAGTTTTTATTTGTGATTCAATGTGCATGTCAGTATATATATTTGTTTAATAACATAGCAGCTAGAGAAGCACACACCTATTAAAACAAACATTATACACATGCCCTTGTTCACAACCCAGACCCTCATCATTGACTCTTTAACAAACAACGGATTTTGTAGTAAAATGAATATAATTTTGTTTTTAATCCTGTTTTTTTTCTTTGTCTTCCTTCCTCAGCTGGTGAGGTAGTGAGCATAGCCCAGCTGGCCTCCCTGGCAGGGCGTCCTGTGTCGTGTCAGGGCAGTAAACCTGTCACCTTCCAGCTGCAGGGCAACAAGCTGACTCTGTCTGGAGCCCAGCTCCACCAGGTCCCAGCAGCTTCCCCACGCCCCGTGCAAGGTTAGTTTTCCTTTGTACTCGCTGTGGTTGACTGAAGGGAGTGTGTTTTATCTGCCACTTAAAATTATTAACGCACCAACAAGATTTCATAAGCCGCTTTCACACCGCAGTACTTTTCCCACTTTAGTTCCGATATAGTTCCGAAATGTCGCGTTCACACCAAAAAGAGCCGGAACTAAAATGAGTTAGAACTTTTTTACCCCCTTTTTCCGTCAGTTTTCCGTCCCTGCTAGAGAGCAGGTACTTTCGTGGGAGAAAAAGGTTCCTATGTCTGATTGGCTGGGCGGAATGCAAACCACGCCTAACTCCGGGGACTTCCGGCCGGGGAGTTCGGGTGGCAGTATACGCCGTGAAGTTGTTTGCGGCCTGCCAGTAAACCCAAAGCAGAAGAAGAAGAAGTGACGTCAGCGGCTTAATTTGCCTAATCCTCCCCCAGGAACTTATTCCGGTGTGAACGTGATCTGTACTTAGTTCATGAGAACTAAAGAGTTCTGATGAACTAAGTTCTCATGAACCTTTGTGGGAAAAGTATATAGGTAGGTGATTGTGGTCACAATTTGGATTTTCTTCATTTATTTTGTGAAGTATTTAATAATAATAATAATAATACAAATGTTATTCTGCTCCAAAAAGCTACTTATGCCTCTATAAGTCGTATCATGGAATGACCAAAGCGAAAGATAATGGGAGGAATTTGCCATTTTTGCATTGACCTCCTATGTATTTATATGGAAAGAATACTTAGTGTAGTTCAGGGGGTCAAAATATGTTTTTATGTATAATTGTTGGTTTTACAACTGACTTTTCAAAGTAATTGTGCATGCAAAAATAGAAGAAAAAAGTTTGCTATGTTGCATGTATCAAATAGTTTAAACCTCATCTCTTAATAAAGAAATGATTGAAGTCATTAGGTATGTTGTATGCAATGCGGTTACTGGAGAATCTGAGTAGAAAAACGTCCCTGATCATAACCCGTCTGTATTCCTCTCACGCTGCAGGTAATGTGATGCACCTGGTGACCAGCGGGATGCAGCACCACCTCATCAGCCAGACCACCCAGGTGACAGTCCAGAGCGCAGTCAGCACCTCCGCCACTGCTCCAGCTTCCAATCGGATGCCTCACAATATCACAGCGCAAGGTTTTTACCCCTTTCTCAAACTCCCTCTTTCATGTTCTGGCCCTTAACAAACAAAGTAATTTTCTTATCTTAAATGGCTTTCATTTAATTCTGAAAATCTGAAATATCCAAGACTTGACTTTAGTCTAACAAAAGCAAATTTTGCTTGGAAATGTATGTTATTTTCTTTTTTGGATGTTATCCTATGACTACAGCAAATTATGACGGCCATTGTAGATAAATAAAATGAAGGACCCTGGGGGAGATGGTAATATTCAGAGAAAAAAGATTGAAGTTATACATTTACAAGAAAAACAACCCAAATATTCTGAGATTAAAGTAATACATTTGCAAGAGACACCTCATCACACTGCAGACGGTAAACAGGGAATACCTTACATACTTTAGAGGAGAGGTGCTATCCTTGGCAATGTCTCTTTTAAAGTCTGATTGCTTATGATAATATTATATATTTGGACTAAAGTATTTCCTTATTGCTACATCCGATAGAAAAGCATAACTGTCATGCTTATCCAACCTTTTTATCTCAGAATGTGTTTAATCTTAGTGTATATATACCGTACTCTTTAATTTTATTTTTTTTTTCTCTGACTGTTACCCCCTTTCAGCTCCTTAATAATGTTTTTACATTTGGTCAAATTTGTTCTCACGACTGATATATTTGATGTTCCCTCAGTGGTCCCCTCCTTGGTGAGCAGCCCGGGTGTGGTGAAGATCGTTGTGCGTCAGACAGCAGGCAAGGACGGTGGGCCCGTGCCGACCCTGGCAGTGGCCCCTTCCCCTCGTTTTGGTCCTCTGGCCTCCCTTTCCCCTTACCCTCACGCCACCACAACCCCTGTTAGAATCCCAGCTCCACTGCAAATCTCCCAGCGCACCCCCGGTCCTGCTACTGCTCACTACACCATAGCTCCTCCTGGAAACCCTAGCTCTACCCCAAACCAGCCCCACCCCCCTCGCCCCATCCTCAAGGTAGTGCAGCCCCCTCCACCGAGCACAGAGCAGCCAGGTGAGAGCAAGAGCTGGAGATATTGTTCTCTCAGCGTTAATTCATTTCGCTGCATGCATGCATGACGGGCAAAACAAGGTCACAATGTTATGCAACTAATATTTAGCTTTTTTTCACTCAGTTATGCAAACATCTGATGCGCTAAGCAGATACAAACATGCAGGGAAGTTTAGGCGGTTTCAGGAAAGTATTTAAAAACCAGTGTGGTGAATTTGAGTCGAGTCAAATTCCTCGTACCTGTAAACCTACCTGGTAATAAACCTGTTTCTGATTCTGATTAAAGATCCAGACATGTTTTTAAGACGTAGAGAAATCCTCTGCTTCAAATAATAATAATTTGTGTCTTATACGTTTTTTCCATGTAAAAGTAACATTCTTAGGAAGAATTTCTTCCAATGCCGTCTACACCTTTATCCTCATTCAAAAGAAAACGATATATGCATTTAAATAGCAAGGCTACGTTAGGGGGTCATGGCGTTTGAGAAAGTACATTTCTCGTGTAGAATAAAGACTTTCATGTATACAGTCAAACCAGCTTTCAAATTGGATTTTTACCTGTACGCACATGTGTATGTGTGTGGCATAAGAATGCAGACAAGCACAGCATGGTGGCAATATAGAAAAGGAAAGCGGTAAATACAGGGAAAGATGCAACCTTGAATTAAGCATAAATTCTGACTAAAAAGGTAACACAAAGTAGATTCTAGAAGTCCAAATAACTCTGAATGTTTAACTTTTTAGTACATTATTGATACATTTGCGCTGTCAGGAAAAGATTTGCTCTGTCGCACTCCTACCAACCCAGCATCTTGCATCTCTAAAACTGTTAAAATAAGTCAGTTTCAGAAATAAGGTTGCAGGTATACAGAAATGAAGAACAAAGAAACTACAGTGGATTTAACCGTTTAATGTGCTATTGTTTATTTCAAGAGTTTACCGACAAGTTGTAGCCATCAAAGAAATACAAATGTTTTAAGTCAGAAAAGCAAGTTTTAGAAGCTAGTTTAACTTAATGACTGAAGTCAATTCATAAAGAATTGAATCGCAAATCTATGATTATTTATATTTCCCGGGTTATTGACACAGCTCTGCTTTCTGCTCCATCCTCCCCTTAGCTCCAGTTCAGGTGAGCTCCTCGTCCTCTGCGTCCAAACCCCTGGCAGCACCGCATGAGAGCAGCAACAGCAGCAGTCAAACACCAGCTACCACTAAGTCCAGGCCCAGTGCAAAACCTCTCCCTCCACCCAGGAGAAGGCCGCCTCCACCTCCCCGCTCTCCTTTCCACTTGGTAAGCAAGCTGTACCCGTGATGTTGATCATCAACAGACATCAGAGAAAATATCTTGGCACAGTTAAATTCTGCCATATTTAAGGGTATCTGTCTCATAACAAAAATAGTTTATGAGAATATTTTTTTGTAGTAACAGTATTGCTAGAAACCACATTTGAATCATGTAAAGACAAACAAGTCCACTGCGAAACTGCACAAAACAAGACCCCCTTAATATAGATTCATAAAATAAAATGTTCTGTTTGTTTATGATTTCATGAAATAACTACTGTGCTGAGGTCCCGGAAAATACATACAAAATATTGGGATAACTAAATATGTTCTTAATTAATGTATGAGGGATACATAGAATGACTCCAGACTATATGCAAAAAAAGTGGGGCACTTTGTTTGGCATTAGTTTGAGTTTTAGATTTGTAAATGTAGTTCAATGATGTTTACACATTTCCTGTGAATGTACCTCATTGATAAAACAATAAGATAATTAACACTAACCTTTAAAGCTGAAACACGTTATTGCAGATTTATCATCTTGTGTTACCTGCTAAAATGTACTCTCCTACTCCACAGGCATGGATGGCAGACAGCCAGAAACAACAGCGTGACAGCCGACTGGACTTCATCATTAGAGTGAACGAGAACCGCTGTGCAGCGAAACCCATGTATGGCCAGGAGGTTCTGAACTTCCTGACTTTTCTCCCTGGAAGCCATCCCTCGCCGGCCCCCCTGAGCGCTCGGGGGGAGTGGGGCCGCTCGGGTCACAGCAGCGCTCTGTACGCTCAGTGGCAAAACAAATCTGACTTCTGGTTCCAGAGTCAAGCTGTGAGAGAGGCCATCCACAGCATTGATGACAGACTGGAGCTGCTCAATCCCATTATAGACAGGTAGATGACTGATAGGAATTATGGCATGAAACCCCTCCGGGGAACAAAGAGGAACAATTTGTGACTTAACTGTTGTTTATTTTGCCCAATTAGGTTTACATTTGCGATTCCCCCAGTGGAGGCTCGTCCGATCTCCATGCACTGCTGCCACCCTCCACCCTCCCTGAGCCACAAGCAGGCCGTCTTCTCCACTCAGCTGTCAGCTCAAGTCACTCCGCTGGCTCGCAGTCTCCATCGTATCCAGTGTTACACGCGGACCCAGTTCCCGGACCTGAGGCTCATACAGTATGATTGCGGTAAGGTGGCATTATGCTCTTTTTGCAGCATGTTTGAGAGAATCGGAGCTGTGTAGTGAGTTTGTTTCGACCTAATGTGATAGCATTTTATTATTTAACTGCAAACATAGACTGCATACAGCAATACAACTAATGGAAAAAAAGGAAATGTGGTCGTAGACGTCAACTAGCCACAGGCTTATGGCCAGTTTTTTTTCTTTTCGCTTTGGTCCGTTTTGGTCTTAGTGACACAAATTAGGTCATATTTTATCATGCATAAATGATATGCCCACCCTAAGCTTACATGCACCATCATATAGTAATAGAAAGCATAGTAGGCACATTCATTATAACTAATAATAAACCTATAAACTGTCTTAATGTAATCTTAACTTACTGGCATCAAAGTAACAAACCATTGCATTTCCTTAGTCTTCACCAGTACACCAGAGAGACATATTTATCTGGCATATAAAGCAGTTGCTATTGACAATCTACTATTGGTGACTGTTTGCTTTCCTACATAACTCAATTGTATTCTTCCAATGTACAGGTAAGCTGCAGACTCTGCACACTCTGCTGCGAAAGCTGAAGACAGGAAGCCACAGAGTGTTGATCTTCACTCAGATGACGCGCATGTTAGATGTGCTGGAGCAGTTCCTCAACTACCACGGACACATCTACCTGCGTTTGGATGGCAGCACCCGTGTAGAGATGAGACAGGTTAGAACTAATGCTTTGCACCAATAACCATGTTTTGAAAATAAAGTTAGATTTGAAATGTCTCCCATAAGTCACAACAATGTTGTCTTGTTCTTAATATTCTGAAAATCAATAACAACAAAAAATCTATTTAACGCTTCATCAGTCCGGCGTCTCTTTTGCTTATTCTCTGTGCATCTTTTTTCTTCTTCCTCAGTCTCTCATGGAGCGCTTCAATGCAGACCGGCGTATTTTCTGCTTCATTTTGTCGACTCGCAGCGGAGGTGTAGGGGTGAATCTGACTGGCGCCGACACAGTCGTCTTCTACGACAGCGACTGGAACCCCACCATGGACGCTCAGGCACAGGACCGCTGCCATCGAATCGGCCAGACCAGAGACGTACACATCTACAGGTAACAGCGTTAAAGTGGTTTTACATGAGCAATACATGCATACAAATGCTTTGTAACAGTGAAAGAAGGACAAGTAGGAAATGGCAAAATCTCTTTAAATTATTTTGACATATGGTCCTTTTTAAGAGCGCAGTTCCACTTTCATTTTGACCTTTAACATTTGATTAAACACGGAAGAATGAAGCAAGCAGAGCTAGGCCCCGTTTACACGGAGACGGAATGGGTGTTATCCGCTACAGTTCTCTATCGTATGGACGGTTCGTTCACACGAGGCCATAACGGAACCACGGAAACAGAGCCCTCAAACGAAAACGGGTCCCAAGGTGGGTAGATCTGCGGACGGAACGCTCTGGGGGGGTCAAACGGCTCTGTGTGTAAGACACCTAGTGGTAAAGTCCAGTGTTTGACTCCTAAACCAGTTTGAGGAATTGTTTTTAGACCTACCCAACCCTACTGCTGAGCCTTCAGGAGATGTTGTAATTCTATTTTCATGAAACAATACTGGGAAGTCCCCACATTCACATTTTCATTATGACAGAAGTTTTGATGCGATTGCAGTAGAAGCACAGATTTAGAATCAATAACTAACTGCCTTAAAATGGTCTCAAAACCGTTTGTGTGTGTCAGAAAGTAGCTAGCAGGCCATCATGCACAGAAGGAGTGCTAAACAAATGCAGCCAATGTCAATTATATTACAAGATGTATGATTTGAAAAACAAGGCACATGTGAGTTAGAAATAATTTCAACAGCATATTGATGTTTTCATTTTCATCTTCAGGCTGATCAGCGAGCGAACGGTGGAAGAGAATATTTTGAAGAAGGCAAATCAGAAGAGGATGCTGGGAGATATGGCTATTGAAGGAGGAAACTTTACTACTGCTTTCTTCAAAGAGGTAGGATTTTAACTACAGTACTTTGCAGACACTTACTATTTGTTTTATTGCCTAACAATACAATGAAAATAAATTCCCTAAAGTTTTATATATGAAATCCACTTCTGGTACTGGCTGCACATAACATAAGTGCAGAGCATGAAGTAAAATTCAACAAAATATTTGTATTTCTCTCTCTTCTGTTTAAAACCCCGATGATTAAATGATGATTAATCATTGTTTTAAATAAACACACCTATGTATCACATCATTAAATGTTTGTCCTCTTCCCCTTTCATTTAATGTGTTCAGATCTACCTCTTTAGGTGCTGTTTGAAGTAGGGCCACAAAGCAACATTTTGTAATTATGCAACAAATGAAACCATAAGCATAAGTGCTCTTGTTTGATTTAATTACCACAGGACCTAAGCTTTTCAAGTGCCTCCTCATTCCGTTTTTTCATCCATTACAGAGAACCGTCTCCCTAAGTTGAATTTGTCTCTTTTTCTCTTTTTCCTCAGCAAACCATCCGAGATCTGTTTGATATGAATGATGGGGAGAAGAGGGAGGCGGCAGTCGAGCTAACAGTGTCGCAACCTGAGGAGGAGGAGGCTGTCAACAAACAGAGCACCACCATTCTGGAGCAGGTTAGATGCATCACATGTTCGCATATATTCTGTATGTAGCACCCAACTTGGTAACAAGCAGAACCAAACACAGGAGAAAGTATAGCATTTTTTTGGTCATTCAATAAATAAATGAAATAAACATATAGTAAAGTATTTTTTTGTATTATCCCGTGTAATTTTATACACTTGACAAATAAAAGAAACTGATAATTGTTCTCACTTATTAAAATGTAGTGCAAAATCCACATATTGACCTAATCCTCATTTTATACTGTTAAAAAAACAATGTTTTTTTTCTAGACAGTATTGTGTTTATATAACCTGATCATCTTGAAATGATTCTCTTAGGCCTTATGTCGTGCTGAGGATGAGGAGGACATAGTAGCAGCCTCTCAGGCCAAAGCGGAGCAGGTGGCAGAACTTGCAGAGTTCAACGAGAACATACCACTGGATGATGCAGGAGAACAGGAGGAGGTGGAGGAGCTGTCAAAGGCAGAGCAGGAAATTGCTGCTCTGGTGGAGCAGGTGAGTTATCATGGCTGGATAATCTGTTTTTAATAACACAAATAATGTGATAATATGATAAAGTTCCTATACAGAGCTTGATGGAGCATTGTAGTCAGTCAAGATGTTTATCTGCATTATACCTATAGTTATTTTATTCATTGTTTCATCTCCATATGCTCTATCTCTAGCTCACCCCGATTGAACGCTATGCCATGAACTTCCTGGAGGCCTCACTAGAAGACGTATGCAAAGAGGAGTTGAAGCAGGCTGAGGTATGTCACAATCTTTACCTTGTTTGTGTTGATTTGAGAAACTATGTCTCATTAGCTCGGATCTAAAAGTTAAGTCTAAAATCCAACTGACAAACGTATTCCCAATGCGCTGTACACATGTCCAAAGAATTCTCTTAAAACCTGAATAATATTGGCATATCCTTTATGTCCTTATCGGTGGAATATTATGAACTTTAGAATAATACTGGAATATATAATATTTTACGTAAAAATGGTCAGTGACTTAAAAGGAATTTACCTAACATTTTGCTTTGTGTTATTGTGTCAGTCAGTAGTTTTACTTATTTGACCAACCCGGTAGTCCTATGGGGCGTTCACACCAAGTTATTTTCCCACAATAGTTCATGAGAACTCAGTTCATGAGAACTCTTTTAGTTCTGATGAACTAAAGCAGATCGCGTTCACACCGCAATGAGTTCCTGGGGGTGGATTAGGCAAATAAAGCCGCTCACGTCACTTCTTCTTCTGCTTTGGGTTTACTGGCAGGCCGCAAACCACTTCACGGCGTATACTGCCACCCGGACTCCCCGGCCGGAAGTCCCCGGAATTGGGGACTGGCTTCAGTAGAAGCTGCTGGGACTCCCAGCAGCTTCTACTGAAGCCTTCCGAGTAAATCGCCAGAACGCCGACACCTCCTCATCTCCACCGCTCCCATGTTTTCTTTTGTGTTGCCATAAGTTAGTCTCTCTGCGTTTGTGCGCTGGGCTAATGCTAATAATGCTAATGCGAGGATAATAAAATGGCGGCTTCACAAAACCTTTTGGGAGTTTTACGGGGCGTGGTTTGCATTAGGCCCAGCCAATCAGACATAGGAACCTTTTTCTCCCACGAAAGTCCCTGCTCTCTAGCAGGGACTGAAAAGGGGGTAAAAATGGTTCTGATGAACTAATTTAGTTCAGGGGGCTTTTTGGTGTGAACGCAAATATATCTGAGTTCTGATGAACTATTGTGGGAAAAGTACTCAGGTGTGAACGCGCCACTAGAGAACCAATCACAGAGACATTTTATATATGATTTTTTTTTTTAAACAAAATTCTAAAAATCTGCCTGTGTCTGTGCAGGAGCAAGTGGAGGCTGCCAGGAAGGGCCTGGACCAGGCCAAGGAGGAAGGCCTAAAGCTCAACGCTTCATCCGATGACGACGACAATGACTCGTCACTGCCAGCTTCTGTGGAGCCTACTCAGCCAGGCCGCCGTGGCCGTAAACCCAAGGAGGCAAGCAAGAACGTCTCCTCTACCAGGACCAGCGGTCGGCTGCGCGGGGCGTCGCCCGAAACTGAGCCTGAAAAGTCGCCCACGTCGCCAAAAGAAGTGCCTGAAAGACTGCGTTGTGGTCTGAGACGAGGAGCTGCCAAAGACTCTGATACTGTGTCTACCACACCATCCCGCACAGACGATAATAAAACGTCCTCATCAACCAGACTTCAAGATTCCTCTAAATCGTCAAAAGCCTCATCTCCTGCCAGAGATCAACACACAATCAAAACCAGGACTTTGCCGAACCGCTCTCATCCCAGTCCAGTGCCTTCCCCTCCAACAAGCTCTCCTCCCACAAGGAAACAACCGTGTCTTGGGGAGACCGACAGCAAGACCTCAAAAGACTGCAGAGAGGAGAAAGAATCCGAGTCATTGCCAGAATCCAGCTTCCCGGTAGACCACGAAGCAAAAGATTATGACACCAAAGACCACAGCGCAATGTCTCCACCCTCCACCAGCTCTCGATCGCCTCGCAAGCGCCAGTCAGCAGACGAAGAAGTGCTGCGCGGCCTTGTCGAAGATTCCCCATCAGCCAAAGTCCTGCGGAAGCTTCCTGGGAGGCTGGTCACGGTGGTGGGGGAGAAGGAGCCACGAAGGAGGAGGCAGCGAGGAAGCGGCACTGGAGCTTCTTCAGAGGAGGCTACCGCAGAGGAGAACCCTTCCGGATCAGTCGAAGAATCAAACACAAAAGACAACACAAAAGACAACACAAAAGACAACACAAAAGACAACACAAAAGACAACACAAAAGACAACACAAAAGACAACACATCACCAAGCTCCGACAGCAAAACTAAAGGGGCCGTTGCTCAATTTCCAAAGGACCAAGATTCTACTCCAAAACCTTCTGTGCACCATCCACCTGTCAGAAGTTACGCTCCATATTCTCCAGCCCATCTTTCTCCTGACATGCCTGTGCTGAGAAATCTTCCTGTACGCCGCAGGTTGGAAACTGAATCTCGCATGGCTGCTCAGCTGGGAGAGCAGCTTCTGAGTCGGGGAAGGGGAGCGAACCAGTCCAGAAAAACTGAAACACCAGGCAAAGACACAACCTCTACAGAGTCCAATGTCAATTCTCTTGCGGGAAATTTGAAAAGAAAGAGGGGCCGGCCCCCTAAGACTCCCCCAAGGTTACCTGAGGCTGGCAACACAGTGGCCTCTTCCCCACAGCCCACATCGCAAAGCGAAGAAGGGAACCCGCCAAACTCCCCGAAACGTAAGAGGGGGCGTCCTCGCAAAGACTCCACAACCTCGCCAGAAACTATTAGTGAAGAACAGAACTCTAAAAATGAGTCCACTGAAAATGATGCAAGCAAAGAGCCAACAGTACTGTCTCTCAATGTGTCAGAGACACCCATAGCAGATGTTATCACTACAAGTCAGGATTCACAGTCTACCAAAGCTGAGGAAATGGACACTAAGAGTGAGGTTTCAACCCCTGCTCCAAACCCAGCTCAAGCTCACACAACCACAACCACAGATACAGTTTCAAAACCAGCTTCACCCCTATCACCCACTGCACCTGCACCCCTTCCTGTAGCTGCCTCCACACCAGTCTCAGCCCAATTCCTTAATTCAGATCTGACTACAGTTCCAAGCTCAGACACAGCACACCCACAGGTGTCCTCTGGAACACATTCTATGTCTGCTGTTACAACCACCACCCATCCAGCTCCATTGGTACCCACCAGTACTGTTGCATCAACCAATAAGGGTGTAAAACCAACAGCTGCCAATACTCTCATACAGCCAAAACCTTCAGTTTCTACAACTCCTAAAGCTCAAGTAGAGCCCAAACCTTCAGTTTCTACAACTTCTGCAGCCCCTGTCGAGCCCAAACCTTCAGTTTCTACAACTTCTGCAGCCCCTGTCGAGCCCAAACCTTCAGTTTCTACAACTTCTGCAGCCCCTGTAGAGCCCAAACCTTCAGTTTCTACAACTTCTGCAGCCCCTGTAGAGCCCAAACCTTCAGTTTCTACAACTTCTGCAGCCCCTGTCGAGCCCAAACCTTCAGTTTCTACAACTTCTGCAGCCCCTGTCGAGCCCAAACCTTCAGTTTCTACAACTTCTGCAGCCCCTGTCGAGCCCAAACCTTCAGTTTCTACAACTTCTGCAGCCCCTGTCGAGCCCAAACCTTCAGTTTCTACAACTTCTGCAGCCCCTGTAGAGCCCAAACCTTCAGTTTCTACAACTTCTGCAGCTCCTGTCGAGCCCAAACCTTCAGTTTCTACAACTTCTGCAGCCCCTGTCGAGCCCAAACCTTCAGTTTCTACAACTTCTGCAGCCCCTGTAGAGCCCAAACCTTCAGTTTCTACAACTTCTGCAGCCCCTGTAGGGCCCAAACCTTCAGTTTCTACAACTTCTGCAGCCCCTGTAGAGCCCAAACCTTCAGTTTCTACAACTTCTGCAGCCCCTGTAGAGCCCAAACCTTCAGTTTCTACAACTTCTGCAGCCCCTGTAGAGCCCAAACCTTCAGTTTCTACAACTTCTGCAGCCCCTGTCGAGCCCAAACCTTCAGTTTCTACAACTTCTGCAGCCCCTGTCGAGCCCAAACCTTCAGTTTCTACAACTTCTGCAGCCCCTGTCGAGCCCAAACCTTCAGTTTCTACAACTTGTAAAGCTCAAGTAGAGCCCAAACCTTCAGTTTCTACAACTTCTGCAGCCCCTGTAGAGCCCAAACCTTCAGTTTCTACAACTTCTGCAGCTCCTGTCGAGCCCAAACCTTCAGTTTCTACAACTTCTAAAGCTTGTAAAGAGCCCATTCCTTCACCTATTACAAATTCACAAGCTCTTGTAGAGCCTAAAATTGCACATACTACAACTTCTAAAGCTTCTGTAGAGCCTAAACAATCAGTTTCTTCAACAACTGTGAAAACAACAGACCCAGGCTCCGCTAAAACCACCACAGTAGCGCCACCAGCTGCTAGCACTCCATTGACTTTACCCTCTTCCATGATGGCTGTCAAAGCTGTTCCAACATCAATCCCTGCCACAGCAACCGCTAATAAGGTCATATCAGAAAAAGTCAGCATTACTTCACCAGTCACTACAGTAAAATCAGTCACATCTAAAAATACAGCTGTAAAGGACTTGCCACAGGCCTCCTCTCTTCCATCCACAACATCGACCCCAGCTGTTGTAACCTCCACCCCACCTACAGCTTCACCAAAACCCACTTCGACATCTTCCCCCACTTCAGCAACAACCACATTAACAGTAAAATCAGTCCAAGCTAGTCCATCAGACGCTAGCACAGTTTCCACAGAAAATCCAACAACGCCTGCTTCTAGAATACCATCAGAATCATCTGTGTCATCGTCTGCTGCAAATACAGTTCCATCTTCTCCGAGGACTAATTTGACACCAACCAAACCAGACTCGACCATTGCTCCGACACATGAAGGTGGCTACATAAAACGTCCTCCTTCAACAACAGCAACGTCTACTACTGTAACTACCACAGCCAAGGAGAAGGCAGTGGCAGTTACGTCATCACCCCCAACAGAGAAAGTCCAAGTCACCACCCCTTTAGAAACAGCATGCCCTTCCAAAGAACAAACAACTGCAGAAAAGACTGTCAAGATCCCATCTCCCGTGACAACTTCTACACCAGCTCCATTACCAACAGTTACCACAACTACATCACCCCCAGAAAAGTCCATGACAGTTTCTACCACAAACGTCAAAACTACTCAAGTGTCCTCTACTATAGTCGCCCCTGTGACTCGATCAACTGTAGAAGTTAACACAACAAATACAGTTCCCGTGTCCACCACACAAACGGCTCCAGATGTTTCCCTGCAAGTACAAAGCTCTGCATCCAGTGAGGTACCAACACCTGCTCCCTCTAGTGTTACATCTGAGAAACAATCACTAAAACACAAAGCACCTGCGTCTAAAAGTGACCCAGGCGGGTTGGAAGAAGTAGGTAAAACAGAAGCTGAGGCAAAAGCTAGCAAGGAGGAGGATCCAGATGAAGAAACAGACATCCGTAAGTCTCAGCGTAAAAGGAGGAAGGTGGAGAGTTCGTCTGGGGCCAAAGACTTTGAGTCGTCAAGGAAGGGGACCCTGCGTGGATCTGCCGCTCAGAAAGAAGAACCTAAGCAGAAAGGGTCAGAGCAAACTCCAATCCAAAAAAGGCCTCTTAGCCGCCAGAGTAGCCAGGACTCTGCTCGCTCCTCTTCTTCATCATCTGGGTGCTCAACCCTAACTCGTCAAGCTCACCACAAGAGGACTTACGAGAATAGACTTCCTACCAAGAAGAGGCGCATGGATGTCACCTCAGAAACGGGGAACGAGGAGAATAACGAAGAGGATAAGAAGCACACCTCTCGGGGAAGGCGTTCCAGGTCTTCTTCTTCCTCGGACTCTGACACCAGTGAGCACAGGGAAGAGCATCGGTTAACACGCTCAGCTAAACACAGGCTGCAAGATCAGGAGAGGGAGAAGGGCAACAGCCGACATGGAAAGAAACCCGACAGGAGTGCATCAAACAATACCAACGCATCCACAGGTGGAGAGTCCGGCAGTGACACATCTTCTGTCAGGATCACCAGAAAGTCTGCAGGATCTAAGCCCTCGCAAGAAAGTAAAGCTCAAACAAACCGCGCGCCCTTGATTCCTCCTGAGCCTGAAGTCCTTGGGAAGAGGTGCTCGGCTCTCAATGCTGCAGCCAAGCTCCTGGCAATGAAAGGCAGGGTGGATACCCCTGGCCACACCACTCGGAAAGACTCTGGTGCTAAGGCTGCCGGGACTTCCCCTGCCTCTTCTGACAAGAACCAAAAGTCTAAAAGCAAAAGTGTTCCAGCCTCCCCTCAGAGTAACTCTTTACATCTTAGTAATAATAAAAGCAGTAGCAGCAAAACTTTAACACCCAACCAGACAAGCCACTCTGCTTCCCGCTCAACCAGGCAGCGCCCCGGTTCTCTGGTTCCACCCCTGGAAGTGGAGTACAAGAGGTCAAAGGCAGATGAAAAAGACAGGGGGGCTAGAAGGTCTTCAAGGATCAAGGAAGGCGAGGCAGAGGCGCTGTCTTCCTCCCGAGGCCACAGTGCCTGCAGCAGCGTGAGCAGTGAGGGCGACGCTGGCGGACGCAGCAGCAGGAGCCGCAGCAGCAGCAGCAGCAACAGCAGCCAGCGGACCCGCAGCATCAGCTCTCAGAACACGGAGCGCCGAGAGTCCCGCGCCACTTCCTCCGGCAGCGAGCGAGAGAGGGATCGCAGCTCCGAGAGCAGAGACAAAAGAGACAGGCACCGCAGGGAGAGCCTGAGGTCGCATAAGCTCACGCAGGAGGTGACCAGCAGTTCGGGAGCAGAGGGGACTCCGGACCGGGTCCTGCGGAGCGTTGCGGCCCTCGCAGCGGTGCAGGCCCGGTCACCGGCCGCAAGCACCCGCTCCTCGTTTGGTCACCACCGTCACAACAAGACATGATCAGAGTGCCAAAGGGAAAAAATAAAAGCGAGAGCACGATACGAGGGCACGTCATGACCTCCAAGGTTGCTGCTTTGTGTGCACTCTTAATGAATGCAGGGGAACTGAGTGCTGCACAAGCCAGGGACCTCCCTGCCTCTTGGGCCCTCTCCCTTTCCAATTTGGAGCTGGCCGACTCAGCAGCTCAGCTGGGGGAAGGCTCAGGGAATGCCGGACTGAGAGTTAAAAAAAAATGTGGCGCCATTGTTGTGCGTCCGTAAACAGACGGAGAGATGGTGCAGTGGATAAGTCGCCGCTGGGACTTGAGGGGGACAAAGGTGCAAGAGATAATAAAGGAAAGCTGTTAGTTCACATTATGTACTGTAATCATTAAAGACTGGAACACTCAGATCTTATTTGTTAAGATGGGATTATACAGCACCCTCTATCAGGGTCATAAATGGTAAGTCATTTGTGTGACATTAAAATCGTACGAGTGACCAGTTGTATTGTAAGTTGGAGGTTTTAGAGTTTGGTTTTCAAATTTTGTCTGCTGTCCTGACTATTGTTTCTTTGTAGTCAGTTGATAAGTTATGCATATTTTATTATTTCTTCCAAGGTATTAGGAAGAGACCAGATCTTTCAATGTGATCTTTGCTGCACTATGCTGGAGCTTGTCTTTTGCTTGGGCCCTTTTTTTTTTGTCATGTCAGTTTCTGTTCATTGGATTTCTTTTTAAATCCAGCCTTGCATTTCTCATTTGCACATCTGATATTGTGGCCCTCGGCTTTTGAATACATTGTGGTGTAGTAATACGTTTTTACATCAACTGCAGTCTATAATTGGTTCCATGTACCTCACGATGTATCTCTACAGTTTGAACATGTATTAATTGAAGCTGCAACTTGTCTTGAACAGACCTGGAGCAGCAAAAATTAAATTTCTTTTTTCTAATCTTCCTAAAGGCAGTTGTAGTTATGGTCCACTTTGTCATGTATTAATATCAAAAGGGCAAGTCAATGTTATTAAAAATGAAGAGTGCCTCTTTGGCCAAATGGGTTAGAACCTCAGATTGCCTTGTGAAGCACCTGAAGCAGGGGTGTCATGCTTATTACAAAAAGAAAATGTAAAAGCCAAACAAAAAGGATACAACTCGAGAACATCAAAAAAGCACCCTGAGCGTCAGTGCTACCAAATTAATGTTTTACTTTTCACCTGAATTTATTTGTCACCATCACTTCATTGCTCTTCTTTCATGTAAAAAAAAAAAAAAAAAAGAATTACTTGGACAAAATATGTGAATAAAAATTACTGGTACAGTTCCAGATGACTGTAAACTGTCGATTTCCTTTTGGACATGTCGAAGATATTGAGCAAAAGTTGATATTTGGGAGGGGGGGTGGATTGGGTGGTAGTCTATGGTGATGGTCTTATTTTTTATTTGTCTCTTTATTTGTTGCATTCCTTTTGATCCCTTGTAATTCCACATTGTTTTACTTGAAAAATTAAGACAATTACAGTTGAATAAAAAGACCAAAAATTAGTTGGAATTTTTCATTGTGTTCAGGATTGTTTAATGGTGGGTAAATTACAGGTTTGTGTCATACTGCTATATTTAATATGTACAACTAGTTACTGTTAGACAAATACTTCTTTTCAATTGTCTGTAACAGCCAATGTGTGAACAAAAAAGTTATGATGCAAGACAAACAGAACAATATACCATGGCAGTATTTATTTTTAAAAACAAACCTAAATGAAAATAAGTCAACCGTAACACTTGGACAACCTTTACAAAATATTGTGGTGCACACTAGTCATCATTTGTCTCTGAATAAAACCAATGTTCCAGGATTCTCCTCACAGAATACACTACAATGACAAGAGAGACTGCACAATGTGACAAACGGGTGAATACAAAAGTATGAGTATTTCTGTGTCAGACTAAACCATGACATTTAAAACACTGCTGTGTAAATTTAAACACAAATAAAACCTCACTATCCCTTCTTGACAATATTGTATTGTCTCACATGATCATACATTAAGGTGAAGGCAGTTTTGAAAAAATAAGTTTTAATTATGTGTGGTTGCAGCATCTTACACAACCTTTCAAATCATAAATACATACTGGTAGGACAAATACAAGTGGGCCTCCTATTGCAGTGCTGAGACACCAAAATTAAAGAGGGCTTTTTAGACCCTAAAAAAGAAAAATCTGTATTTACAATTGTTACATGTAGGCAGTTTGAAATAACTTTCAAGTCTTAAAAAAAATCATCTCATAAAGAATGTCATTCACCAGCATTATAGGTTATGTACAATTATATTAGTCTATTAAAACTGTTATTTACTCCCAATTCATCCAGAAACGTCGTAACAAGAATCAACGCACAGTTTCCTGAGTACAGTGCGGGGTTTCAACACTGCATTGTGCTTTGCTCAAGGCCACAGTTCCTCTTTTTTATGAAAGAGGGGAAGAGGCACTGACATAACAGCTCACAAATCGTCCTGGTGTTTGTGTCGCAGATTCTGAAGGGGGGGGATTTCCATTAGACCAGCAGCACTGCCTCTTGAGTTGAAGTGGAAATGCAGGTGAGATTGTAGTGAGTTAAAAACACATCTCTTCTTAAAAAAACAAAAAACTGTGGAACAAAGAAAAGTAACAGGAAGATGAATATGAAATGTGGAAAAAAAGCACGGTTGACAACGGAATAAATCCAGCCGGATTTTTTTTCTTCTGATGTGCTTCTGCTAAACCAGTCTACAGCCAACTGCCTGGTGTTAGGTGCCGAAGGCGGAGACCAATGAGATGACTAGGATGAGGATGAGGATAGCCAAACAGATCGCTATCCAGAGCTTTTTCTGCATGGGGAGAGAGAAATAGATCAATAAACATACGAGCAAAATGAATTAGGTGCAACAAAGGGACACTTCTCCCCAAAATCTAAAATACATATTTTTTCTCTTACCTGTAGTGATATTTATTATGATGTGTTAGGTGCAGTGTTGGAGATATCAGCCCTAGAGGTGTCTGCCCTCTTTAAAATATATTGGATATAATAGCACTTGGCTTTTGGTGATCAAAGCGCCCAAAAATATATAGAAATTCAAAAATCAGCAGCATTGTCTCTTATCAGAAATCATGACTGTTGCACAACATAATTAAAATATTTTAGAAATGTTATAGATTCTTATATTTACAATTACACCTGTGAGCAGTTTCATGTAGGAACTTTTTTTCTTCTACCAAACTACACCTGCCAACAAGTGCACACGAGCCTGCTTCCTTGTCACATATCAGCAGAAATCACGCAAGGTACAGTACAAAAGCAGTGATACGGTTGGCGGGTGTAGTGCGGCAGGAAGAAAATAGTTCCTACAGGAAACTGCTTTTGTGACCCGGTCATGATTTCCGGAAAAATGTCAAGAGAAGGCAGACATCTCTATGGCCAGTCTGCCAGCATTGGCCAAAAGATTTATAAATAGCACTACAGCTAGGATAAAAAATCTATATTTTTATTTAGGAAGTGTCCTTTTAAAGACACATTGTAACAGGACGTTAGGGCAGGACATAATACAGAAAGGGATTATTGTGTACTAATTTAAGGAGAAAAGGCTATTTGGTTTGATAGTACAGGTATAAGTCAGAGTATTTTAAAGTGTCCATATCATGTGTCTTTATACTGTACCTTGCGTGATTTCTGCTGATATGTGACTGCTTTCTCCGTGTTTTCCTTGGCTCTCACCACGTAGTCCGTCGACTGTTTAATGTTGTTCTCAACCCGGTTCACCATCTCCCCCTGCAGAAGGGAAGACATCATTCATTCTCTTTGTCACCCAGATCAAAAGCTGGATGTTGACGTTGTGCGCGCTGCTCTACCTGAGCCTCCACCTCCATGGCCAGGTACTGGAACATGTCGTGCAGCTCTCTGATGCTCTGCTCCAGCTTCAGGATCTCGTCGTGCCGGGACTCGATCTCATTCAGAGCCTGTTTCGTGGCTATAGCATCGCTCAGGATCTAAAGATTTGTATTAGTTATTAACAATAGCTGCACCAAGTCATGAGGTTTCAGGGTTTTCAGCATTCTTTACACTACGATCTAGCGGAACTGATCACTAATGGCTTCACTAGGATGTCTTTCTTTGCTTACCAGATCTGCTGTCCAGTTTGAGCGATTAGAGACAACAGAGCACATCATTTCATACATGACACTTAAAGTCTACTCTGACTCCTTGGTGCAACTGTGAATGTGTTTTGCTTCAGCAGAGGGGTTGTGGTTTCCAACATCAGGTATTTGACACTTCTTTCATCTTGCCACATACTCACATTTTGAGTGAAAACATTCGTCTGCCCGCTCTCGAGCATCGCGTCCAGCTTTTCTTCTGTCATGTCCTGCCCAGCTGAAAGGTAGAAGTACATCAGGATAATATAAACAACATTATAGTGATATAAATAATTGATTGCATTGTTATACCGTGCTTATGAATGATAATATGGCGGTTTAAAAGCAGAAAGTGACAGAGAAGAGATGACACATGTTCATGGGACAGAGTGCTGACAGTGAAGCAGGAAGTGGTCACAGCAGTGAGGTCCACCACACACACCCTGTGCTGTACTCACTGATTTTCAGCTGCCGGTGTATCCTCTCCACGTTGCGGTCCCTGTACTGCGCCTGGATGGTGTTACAGTAACCCATCTGCTCCACAAACTCCCTGGACAGGACTCCGTGCTGCAGAGGAGGAAACACTTTGGTCACTTTAACGCTCATTATTGATAGATCTTATACACATTTGTGGGAATTTAAAATGATATCCAACCTGGGTCCGTTGCATCCGGGAGTTTATGGGTACATATTTTCCATCCTCCTCTCCTTTCTTCGGTTCAATACCTGTAGAGATATTTCATAAGTATCATTTATGTACACGAAACTAAAGAGCAAACCGTGTTCTAGAGAGGCACCAATCACTGCATTTCCATTTTAATACTACTTTGCATACTTGCATAATGTATATATTATCCACTGTTTTTTTGTTTTTTTTAGAAGTTTGGTCTTTTACTGTATTCTAACTTACTCTGTATATGTTATGTTGTGTATTCCACTGATATGTATATATTTACTGTTTGTTACTTTATTTATAATTTAAACTCTAAATTCCTTAACACAAAATGTTCCTTACTTCATATCAGTCAGCTATTAGGATTTCGCAGCCACACACACAAAGTGTTAACTGGGCTTATTTTCCACTAGCTTTAGCAACTTTTAAGACCATCTTGGCAGCTTAATTCCTAAAAAACAACTTAAAGAACATCAGAAAAAAACAAGAAATATGTTATATAATCATTAAATTCCCCTAGCTTATCAGAGCATTTGCGGTGAACGACTCTTCATCCAACAGGTCATAATCTCACAAAATGAACATAAGTGTATTGACTTGTTATCCGCCAATACTCACTCTTCAGTTTTCTCTGAATGTGACCCGCCAACGTTTTGATCTCCTCTCGAAGAGTCTGCAGCTCTCTCTTCATACCTGAGGAAAACATCAACAGATAATGTGAACCCTCTGAGTGGTGACACTTAAGACGAGAGATTCAGAAAAATATGTGGATTTAAGAATGCAAAAAATATATTGTTCACCTAACAGTAAAAGACTTGGACTTTCAAAACTTTAAAAAATGTGGTGACTTTATGTTTTGCCTTTACAGAAATAGTCAGTACCCAAATCTGTACAGACTGATGGCACGGACAAACACACTTACTGTCGTCCGACAGCGGGTCGGCCAGCAGAGCTTTCTGTTTGTTCTCCAGGTTAGACACCATCTGTTTGAGGCTGTTCAGCCCCTCGTGAATTTCTTGAACCTGAGATTAGGAAACAGAAGCACTGTTCAAATGTGCATTTAGTTGTAGGGGAAACAGATCCACATGAAGTTTAATTGATCGATTAATTGGTGAATTAATTTGTCAAGCAAATATGCCAGACATGCTGTGGTTCCATTCTTTGAAAAGAAAGGATATTGCTGCTTTTCCTTTTTAATTGATTATTTTTATATAGTGGACCGCTGGGGGGATACAAAAAAGCATGATGTTTTTGTTGATGTTGACAAGATAGAATATATAAAGTGACAAAATATGGGAAAGAGCTATGCGACCATTTATTCAACCTACAGTGGACATTCCTGTTAAACAATGTAAACAATCATTAAGCTTTTAATGTTTAAACCTTTTTTTTTTACAACTATTATTTCAGGCATAGACTGAAAGACAAGAAAAATGAATCCTAGGAAAACTCCTTGGGACCTTTTACCTTGCAAATATTTATCTTGTTATTTTACAACATTTTCTAAACTAAATTATATTATTATTTAATAGATCAAATAATAAATAATTATTTTTAGATCTAGGTACAGTACCGGTGTCTTATCTTGTTTTTTTTCAATGTATTATATATTTTGAGAAACAATAAACAATTTCTGATTTTAATTTGGAAAAATATATATATTTTTACGTTGCTTATTTTTTTTAATTACAAATGATATCCAGCA